TTTCTAAAAGCAACGTGGCTTGAATCAAGCACCGGAGACATCAACGTTGGCTGTCACAGCCCATTCACCTAACCAAACTCTTTATAACAAACCAAACAAAGCAATAAAAAAATAACTTATACCAAGCTTTATTTGATCATTTCATTGCAAAATCATGCGGAGCCTAGCTCCTGATTGGAGTGTGATTACAGTAGGTTCCAGGAGCCTGTCCATTGGTCAGTGGAACAACAACAGCTTCCAAGAGTTTGCCCATTGGTCACTGTGAGTACTGCAGCTTTCAGAAGTCTGTCAGTGTGACTATAAATGTGACAGTAGTCTTCAGTACTTCTACACAGGCCATGTTCCTGACATAAAATAGGGGGAAAAACACTGCAATTGATTTTGTTGTCAACCTTTGTGAGTTTTATGTGTTTTAATCCCGAGAGTACTATTGTCATAAAAGTATAATCTGTGCATGACACATTGTTCTCAGCATTAGCTTGTGTAAACATAAGGAAACTTCCCCAGAGTTTCTTTGTGATTTAGTTAAAGCTCCATCACGATTGTTGTTATTAATTAACCCGCGATGATGTCACTAATCAATAAGGCCGCCAGCTCTTGGCCAGCTTTCACGTAACTTTCCCAAATGATTTCCGTAGAGCTTTGGAAACATTGGGCACTTTTCCACCACTCCAGGACAGTAAGTACCAAAAAGTATGGTACTTTGAGGTGCCAGTTTTCCACTGGCGTTAAAATTGCTACCGGTGCCAAATGACATCACAACGCGAGGCAGGGCATTTCGTGCTGAATTCGACTGGATGATGTACGATATTAATGCCAGCATCACATGTTATTCACATGCAATTCTCACATCGCTAGTAAGCTAGATTCAGATCAGGTTTGTTCTTACCTTCAATTCTGTATGGACAGTATAGCGCACAAAGTTGTATGTATAGTGTCAAAATGTATGTCCGCTGCTTTTGCATGAGCACTGCATGCATTTTCCCAGACAATCATAATCATTTTCACCCTTGCTCTTTAAATCACTCCTTGACAGGTTTGTCAGAAATTTACACTGAACTACATTTTTGCTGTATAAATACCCTAATATTTATTATAATAAAATCACATTGTGATCCTAGTAGCTATATTATACAAAATGCTTCCTTTCATGCTGTCCTAATCTTGTTGTATCTGTTCTTCTGACCAGAACGCAATTAAAGCTTGGGTCTCTTCATTTGTCCACACATTACTTTTATTTCCTTTACTACGTTTTTTCAAGACGACATTTGTATTGTGTTTCAGAGGCAGAATACTTGCTTAACCAATCGACAAAGAATGCATTTCAAGTCCCACCCCAAAGTACTGGAACTGTTGGTACTGGTACTTGACCTGAAGTCAGTGGAAAAGGGAAGGTTCCGAAAGTTCCATACTCGAAGTATAGTACCTGGCACAGTGGAAAAGCGACCATAGATAATAATCGTGTACTTGATGCTGCATTTAAGTTGATCTACCAGACTGGGGCGCCAGTCACAGGGTCACACTTGCTACCTATTCGGTTAGGTTGGCGCACACCTTCTGTTAGCCCCATGCTAATAGCCTATATGAAATCCGTCAAAATAAGCAGCAGACAGGCCGGGATTAGGAGCACTTCCGCCGTTAAAACTCCGAGGCAAGTTAAAGCCTGAACAAAATGCGGGTATCTCTGTCTCCCCTCGGAGGCCTTGTGCGGCTTGCTAAGGGAATCGGCGGAGATCAGAGACGAGGCTGGCAGACTATCAAAGATCAGGATATAGAGCACATGCTCTCAGTGCCCAGGAGCCGGGAAGGGGCTGGAACAGCGCCTGGCTTTATCCGAGGTGCTTTTCGAGGGGCCTCGCCCATACCCATGAGGACCGAGACTCAGGTGGATGCTTCTCCAGGAGGTTGAGTGTTGGGACTGGAAGTCGTGTGAGGTGACAGAACGAAAGCCCCTGAGAACAATGTCATCGTAGTGTGATAATTCCATGTGGGATTAGCCACTTGGGTTTGCCTGGGGCTGTTTTTTCCTGAATAGTAAAGTGATGGTAATCCCACGTAACAGCGCCTTTTTCTTTGTTTCTGCAATCCCACAATGTAGAAATGATTAAAATGGTCAAATGGCTGTGTGAACATCAGCCCTCGGGATTCTGCATGGTAAGCAAAGGACCTCAGTCTGCGGTTACAGCAGTTAACTTTCTTTGTGTCGGAGAAGCGCACTGCGTTAACCCCAGTGGAGGAGCGGCAGATCAGAAAAAGGCAGAAAAAAAGAAGAGGGAAAAAGATGTTTCTGAAAAAGTTTTCAAATAATAATGCACCGTCTGGGGACATTTTTATTGCAGTTCCTCACGTTTTGGAGTGGAGAATGTTCTTCGTTTTTTTGGGGGAAGGGGGCGGGCAGGGAATATGACAATGCTGCAGGGAATTTGGAGGGAAGGAGAAGTGAGCGGCCATGTTGACCTCGCACAAGTGGTGATAGTGGTGTGGGCAAGGGAGGGGGGGTTCACTGTCAGTGTGGAGCGAAGGGAGAAGGAACACCATAAGGTTAGTGCCCCCATGGTTTACATGTTTTAAAATCAAGCCAGGAAGAGAGCAGATTATCAGGAATAACGGAGCAGGAAGACATCGTCAGGTGGTTTAAACATGGGCCGGGCTTATATATGCATATGTCAGAAAGACTGTCCAATCAGATTTCTGTAACTCAGAATGACATAATTGAGAATGACAAATGAAAATGCACTCTGTTCTGATGGGTGTACATCCCAAAAGATTACCCCAGCATAAGCTCGTTTTAAAACGGAATCCCATGGTAAGCTTCTCTGACACCCCCTTTACCTGACACCCCCCTTAAAAGCAAGACAGTCCTAAAAGCATGACATCACTGGGTGCAGGACCTTTTTCCTCAGTCTTCAGTTTTACGGTAACAGAATGTTCTAGTATAGTAGTTTTCAACCTGGGGTCCACAGAGCAGTCACAGAGGGTCTTATCATAAATTAAGAAAGTGTCGATATTATTTTCCAATTTGCGCAGTGTGAAACCCCCCCCCGAGCTAATTTTTTTTTTTGTTTTTATGTGGTAAGGGGTCCCAAGCTCTGCTCTCTTCTCCTTTGGGTGTCCATGGTTTACAGAAAGGTTAAAAAAACCCTGTTCTTGCATGTCAAAAACACATCTTTGAAATATTCATGCGGCCGAGAAAACCTTGTTTGTTGGCGAGCCAGCCGCGCGGCAGCCCCACAGAGAGCCCCGCTGACGCAAATAAATCTTGAAGCCGGAGCAAAATCAGCTTGCTGAAGAGAGCTTGAGTGAGGATGCAATCTGTACTGTGCTCCGAACCAGTTTGAGCCAGGAGCTGAAGACAGGAGCTTTACAGATGTCACTTGTGTTCCTTATACCGGCAAGCGCTCTGCATCTCGCCTCTATGTTATTATAATTGCCGTTGTTGCTCAGTAGGTCGATTTGGCAGATGTCATTGTTGCTGGGGAATTACAGGGAATTGGAATGTGCAAATGGGTCATGCTAAACTATACACAATACCAGCGTGTGACTCCCAGTTTACATTGATGCCTTTTTATCGCATGACTTTGATGGTACAAGCAAGTAAAAATGAACGCGCGGACGTATCCGTAACTTCAACGTCATGCTGCGGCTGCAAGATGTCTTAGCTAGAGCAAGATATTGAGCTTTGGTCACACGGCCTCAAAAATGATATTGATGCATTAGAGTAAGCTCAGGAAAGGCTGGCAAACGATTCCAAGCCCTAAAGGGTTTCCGTAAACGGCTTTGCCAGCAGCAGATGAAGTGGGATGCTACCCATGCACACAAATCCCTTATGGGCGGGGGTCAGCACCATGTGTTATTCCTACATTTTCACTATTTTAACCACAAATGGAAACTAGTTTAAAAGGACTATTAAAAGGACAAACTAATCTCCAGGGATAGAGATTGGTCAGGATTTCTCAGGAAGACCCCAGTGATGGTTAGGGATGTACTTGCTTGAGGAAGAACCATCTTTGGCTTAACGATGTCAGCATGAGTGAAATTCTGCCATCACTTAATAGTTCAATTTTAAACTGAGTAAGACTATAGAAGTTCTTACTATGTTTCAGTGCTTGTCAACAGACCCAAGAATTCACTTCACTGCCACAGTGGGAAGGCATACAGCTGTTCAGGTGATGATACACTGGGCAACTTTTTGAGCAATGTTACTGGGCAACCACCGACCGGGTGAGACAAAGGGCACCTGATCTGGATCGTGATGAGTGCAAAAACTTGCCCGCTGCCAATCAAAGGTTTTCAAATAGAAATCTGTGGCCTAATATCAATGGGAAAGTGCCCGGGCAACATTTGTCAGCACCATTGCTCAAAAAGTTGCCCTGTGTATCGTCACACTTAGGAGCACATGTGTGCCTGTAGAAAGATGTTTTAACTGCTATATATCAGGCCCTCACTATATAACATTCATTTAATCATTTCCTCATATCAATGTGTCTTAACCATTCATTATCAATCTTCAGAGATTATGAATACATTTCACTTTTTTCATATGATCAAATTGTGCTTGTATGAATTATCTAGCATACAATGACCCCTTATTAGATTTTATTTATACTCAACTCAAAATTGAAACAAATTGTTCCTGTTGGTGTGGCTTCTTTGATATATACAGTGATACTGCTCTTTATAATGGGAACAAAAGTCTTCACCAATTTATTGCTATATCTTCGAAGTTAACGAGTATTGGACGTCTTCCTGGGCTAGTGATCTGGATAAGGGTGACTAATTCACAATAAGAAGCCAAATATCAATTCTAGCTATTTAATCATACCATGTTTGCATGTATGACATGCATTTTAGATTGGTTTTAGGCATTTTTACAACTATGGAAAACCCGGCCTCTTCGACCCACGAAACATGGATATATATGGTTTATCTATGTGTCTATCTTCCAACCATTTATCCAGTACAGAATCATAGAGATATTAAAAATTGGCTCTACAAAACTATAGGTTATAGCTCTATAGATTTTAATTAGCAGGAAGCCAATGTCATTGGCCGGGAGAGAGGGGCGGGGTCACAGGTCCACAAATGGGGTAAGCCATGAGTTTCCACAGCTGTTCGTTGATGGGAAGGTTGGAGCTGGAATGAGTCCTGGAAGAGAAGGAGATTGTGCAGCTGACAGAAAGAGGTTCATGCACCATGTTCAATACCAGACAGCCTATAAGAAGCTGATTCCACGGTCTGATACTATAGGCGGGCAAGACAGCTAACAGGGATGTCATAGTGAATCTTGGCCCCTGATTTGTTCCTGTTGATTCTGCAAATGTAAAAAATCCTCCAATGTAGTTTGGGGCCCTTGTTTAACAGCACTGAAGTGTTTCATGGTCATGTGATAATGTTTATATATCTTGTATTTCACTCATAATTCATCACTGCAATGTAAACATTCTTAAAATAACATCCATCTCACACAGAGAAGCAGCATGTCCTCCAATATGTGTTGCCGGGAAACATGTGGCAGGAGGGAAGTGATGGTGTCAATGCTCTGCTTGTCCTCCACCAGGTCCTCCAGTCATCGTGGGAATGAGCATCAACATCGCCAGCATTGACTCCATCTCAGAAGTCAACATGGTGAGTATGCAGTCGGCGACTCAATCCAGCTCGTTAAACATTCGTCTCCCACATGTGGAGATTGTTTTGACCCGTGGACCAAGACTCCTGGCAATTTCAGCATAGCATAGCATCATCGCCAACTCTAAAACAAAAACAAAAAAAACAAAACAAAACAACAAACGGAAAAAAATCGACTTGGGCCTCTGAGCCACTGCGTTTATACTGATGTCACAGCAACATTGGGAGGCAAGGAGTTGACAACCCAGCACCGTAAGACTTCTAAGGATCTTAAACATCTTCAGATTATCCTCGAGACTTGAGCTGGTATGGTCCAGGGCCGCTGGTTATGTGTGAATTATCACAGATCTCCAAGCAGGCCTTCCCTGAAACGTTAAACCTTCTATTTTTTTTACACGAGATTACATGACTAATGTGAATGAGTAGCGATAGTCACACTCCTGCTTTTTTTGGACACTGCTGTAGGATGTGTTGGCCAGTCATTCTGCTCTTTCCTTATAAAGAGCAGTCAGCTACTCAGAAGAGACGTGGGAGATGCCAATGTGTTTGTTTAAGCCGTTGGAAGCAATAAGGATGTGAATCATAGGCTCTGCCGCCATCAGCGGAGCTGTGATGAGATAGTGGGACAATGCCATGAAGATCCAGGCACATTATCCAAACACATACGGTCTGATGCATCACAAAGCAGTATAATTCTCAGATTCAGCTTGCGGGCTCTACGTCTGCCATCCTCATTAGATATTGTGGGCAAAAAAAAAACATAAGTCAAAATTAAGAGAATTATGGTGAAAGGCAAGAGTTGATAAGAAAAGCTGACTCATATTTCTACACGTGGTTTGAAATCTGCCCCAATAATACTATTTTCGTGAGGCGGCAGCCACACCTCTTGTTAAGTTTGCCTCCTTTTTTGCCGGGTGGAGCACTGGCTGAGGATTTCCCTCGGGGAAATCTAAAGCAAACAAAACAGAGTACAAAGACAAATGTGAGTCTGACGCAGACATTCTGCATGACACCGACAGATACAAGACAAATGATTATGACGCAGCTGAAAAATGTTCGAAGGTAGGGGTGAACAGCAGGATTCTTCTTCAGATGATTTTTCAGTTACCGGTTTACAGATTAAAGATTAAGATTAATTGCTAGATTTCTGTGTTATCTGCTCAGCTGTGTCAGTTCCCTACCTTTGTTCACTGATGACAAAACTGGATTATTCACCTGGGTGATCTACGTACAACTCAATGGTTTCATATTTCTTCCTGTGTAAATTAAGTCGGGGGTAGAAATGTGGCCACGTTTTTCTTAGTGCAAATTTGTACTTTTCATATGTGTGGTATCTATATGGGTACTTTTACAGTGACTAATTTCAAAAGTTCATTTAAAGTGCATCGGCGGAGGAGGTGGTTAAACTTAACGGGAATCCCATTAGCGTCACCACTGGGACACAAGTGGATCATGGGAACCAATAGTCCATCATATGTTTTGCGTTTAGCATGGAATATGGGATGAAACACGTGTTTAGGCCATCCTGTCTGATGCCTCACAGGCCCTAAGTGACACGTTTAACTAAGGCTCCAGAAAACAAAGGCAGGCTTCATCGAAATTCCAGAATCCCCCACGTCAGTCCTCGTGGCAGTAAAGTATAGCGAGCATATGATTATTTCATTGTAGTTTGATTAATGTGCGCTAAACTTTTAGCTTTTGGCTAACCTTCAACTTTACAGTGAACTCTTTGCACTTACATTTATGTTTACTTGGCACGTTTCTTCAAAGTGACGATCAAGTGACTGTTTTGCTGTACTGTTGACTGCAAATGATCTGCTTCGCATTTTTTACAGATCTACATGCTAAACCCTGACTAATATATAATGCATGCTAAATATGCAAGTATATGCACGACAAGCTCTTTTTGATTAATGTCGTCAGTAGCCAAACACCTATGACTGAAGGCATTAGTGGCCATGGTTCACTGTCCACAGCAAATTGCTGCTGTTGCGAATTCAATTCAAAATGCCCTTGCAAGATGTTTCATTCACACAGGAGCAGATGTCAGGGTCCCACGCTGACATTAATACGGATTTCATGATTTCTCCAGTCACCACTGCGACTATAGGCGAGAGGCGCGGCAGGCAGGCAAGGCGCCTGTCACTCAGATGACCTGAGAGGAGAGCAGAAGGCACGGAAATCTTTAGACACACACGGGCAACTGGTCAGCTGACTGACTGCAAAAAGATTTCCATCCATTCATTTCTCAGCTTGTCCTATGCAGTGTGTGTGTGTGGTGGGGGGGGGGGGGGGGGGTCCAGAAATCTATTCCATAAGCTATAGCTGCAAGGCATGGAATAACCCAGGTTGGGGCACCAACCAATAGCAGGGCACACGCACCATTCGCACAAACGCCTATGGACAATTTGGTACCTCCAGTTCACCTTAGCATGTTCTTGAATCCATGTGGGGAAACTGCAGCACCCCACGACGACATGGGGAGAAGATCCAAACTCCACGCGTTGTTGGTGTCTCCACCCAAACCTAATTCAGCCTTTGATAAAATGGGGCTGATCTATAACTGGGGGCTGGCGCCCACACAGTACTGGCAACCATATCACGATGGCATGCCATTGGCCAGGTGCCCGCATTCTCCATGCTGAAGGGGTGTGGCCTGAGGGACTGGAAATCCTTATTGGACGATAATGACGGCAGCAGATGCCGAAACAAAAGCCGTTCACACTGTGAATGTGGAGTTCACACCTCCAGCATGCCGCTGAGACCTCACTCCCTGCTCCCACATGAAATATGCTACGCTGCACAACACCTATACACCCCCACCCCCCAGGGAATCACCAAACATCTGGATTTTCATCTAATTAATCACAAAGTTACAACCTGGAATGACAACAAAAGTTATTGGCACCATAAATGTGCCGTGCTGAATACCGGCCAGCAAGTGTGTTTTTATATCAAAATAAAAGTACAACACTTATAGGCCAGGAAACTGAAGGAGTTCACCGATCGTATTTCCCAGGAAGTGCTCATGTCAGGAGGATGTCCAATGGGTCCAGGCTGAGGGCATTTGAGGCACGATCCGGTTTACAGCCCGACCTTCGAGATTCAGGCAGTGCAGATTCCCGTAGCCAGAATGCTAGCTCAGGAAATCCCGTTTACCATCCCTTGGGCTTTTGTCATCTTTTTGCCAACGTGCAATCTATATCAAAATTGTGCAGCGTTTTCCCGCTTAAGATATTCCATGCACACACAGGCCCGGTTTAATAGAATTTGCTGTTTATCACAATGGCCACATCAATCACCGGTACATTACCTTTCCCGTCGCAACCGTTATTATTCACCGAAACATAATATACGATTTGAGGCCCGTTCACCGCGCAGTATCGTCGAGAGTCGTTCCTGCAATTTTATAGAGCCACGGATGCAGAAGGGAGGCGGCTCACGAGCATCTTCCTTTGATTTAATTATAAATATTCCCGTTCCGAAGGCATAAGTCACTCCAAATGCGAGGAATTGCAGTCGAAAGACAAAAGAAAGGCAAATTGATTTTTTTTCCCCCAGCAGTTGGCCAGTTCTCTTCATCGCCTAGGCAGCGTATAAAAATTTTTAAAACGTATACACGAAATGTCTCGAATGCGATGCCTGCCCTTGGGTTATTCGATGGATTGATTGTAAACTGAATGACGTTAACTGAAATGGGTACCGGTGGACCATCCATCACCCATTACGATGGTGTCCTGCAGCGTTACGTTTAATAGCCTATAAAGCCATTAGCTTTAGGCAGATCGGGTCCGAGTTCAGGCCCTCCCCATTTAGAGATGCCCTCACGCATGGCTCCTGTCCGTCATAGCTGTGGGCGGGGCTTCCATCCGTTTCAGCTGATGACCACTCCCTCTTCGTTATGACCTCACAGTGCATGCCTTGAGACTAGCGAGCATGACGATCAAGGCCGTCTCCATGGTTTCCACGGTAGCTGGCCTGCCACGGCCAAAGACCGTAAAAATGCAGTTTGTCGCACATGAAACAATAAGTCAGTGACTGCCGTCATGTAATAAGTCAGCAGGTGATGCTGGAAAGTAAACAGGCACCCAAAAAGTGCAGTGAAGACTTCAGCACACTCAGGTAATGCCCCTGGTGACGTTTCAAATGCTTAACGGAGTCATTTTGATCCGGTAGAATTCTACACACCCGGCATTGTAGGATTGCTAACGAAGCTGACCTTTTAGTATAATGTACGTTTCAAAATGCTTATGTTTTGTTATTATATTGTTGTCATCATATTTTAGGTTCCCACGTCCAAGCGGTATGTAAGCAAAACAGTCTTCAGTCCATGCGAGCTCAGAACTAAAAAGCACAGTAAGTCATTCAACAGCCTTCAAAGACGTGTGAAGGAAAATCACTTTCTTTGCAGGTGTGCCTGAGTTGTCGCCTTTAAATTTAATACCAGCCTAATCAATAAGACCCACAAAGAGACGGAGAATTCCTGCCCCCCAAATATGGCGTTTTCAGTAGAGGACGTGCTAACCTTTTAATTTCCATGGAAACAGATAACTAATTCAGATTAATTCCACAATACCATATTTACATAATGTAGAAGGGGCTTGCATCATATACTAAACATATATACTCAGCGTAGGACACAGAACATCTTTTGTACAGTATTTGAGAACTGATATATATATATATATATATATAAATATATATAAAATAGATGTATATGTTTATTCTACTGGCTACTATGATCTCTGTATCTGGATTTTCAAATATTTGAATGCAACTCAACATTATGTTACTTTAGTAAGGGCTCTACGTACATGGCAAGGTAAAATAGTTTTTAAGTAACATTAATGTTAAAGAATTATGCATACAAAACATGAACATGAGTTTGCTAGCATATAATAAGCATATTAAACCTCTTTACCATAGTTTAAGAATAAATATACAACCAAACTATTTTGTTCTCTGTTATGTTCAAGGTAGAGATCCCTGTGGTGACCCTGATGTAGTAAAATTGAGAAAAGTACAAGAACTGGTGAATTGCCTCAGTAAACAACCAGCGGAAGCATAGTAATAATAATCATCTTGCGTTGTTCTCTGGCTGTTCGAGATAATTGAATGATTTATAGACATGAGCCAGAACATGTTTGTTCAGACTAGAGTAGTCATGTTGCTGTCCACCACCAACCGTGACGTCCGTCCGCTCAGCACTCTGATCCCAGGCCATTCTCAGTTTTTTGGGGAGTCGCTGTCTTCCCACTGGACCCGTTTGGCAAACGTTAATGTCACGGACATCTGAACGTATCTCCGCGTCCACAAGACCTGTCCGATAACATATACATATTCTACACAGTCAAATCACCACCTTCTCCGATGAAGTGTGGGGGGGGGGGGGTTCCTAATTACTCTCTGGGGATCAATTCAGTCAATAATACTATGTCATCTCTCACTTTAATATAAATTATCTAAGTCGGCAGACTGGAAAAACAAAATACCTATTCCCTCCATTTTGGCTCCAAAAGAAAAAACAACGCAAACTAGACAGAATGGCTTTCTTTGACAATATCTCGCAACGCAATGTTTTGGCCCCAAAAACGTTATTAATACATGTTTATGTATGTAAGATACCTATTTCTATCACATGTGCTTGTGTATCTAGGCATAGTACGGCTTAATGGAATGCTAACATGCTAATTACCAAGCTAACACATATAAAGTAAAACCTCCACTATTTATCTAACCAACAGTAACATTACAGTAAAGCAGTCTAATAAATTTGGATGTAAAACTAATTATTGTCAGACTCTTAAAAATGGCTACTAATCATAATTACAATACTGATCTCAATAGTTCATTTTCAATTAATGCGGAGCTGCTTTAATTGGAGGCATTGTATGTAGGTCTTTGAGTGTAACCGCGGGTCTGGTGTCTCAGAGGAAGCCTCGGCTCGCTCCTCTCTCCCCCTCCCTCTCTTATCCAGTACACTGCCACTGCCGGATTCTTGCTAACTGGACCGGACTGGGTCCACCACAAGATCCATTTTATTCACAGCTTTTCCACCGGAATCATGGCAGAGGATTTAATCCAGAGTTTTTGGAACATGGATGTTTTTTTATCATTATTTTATAAATTATTGAAATTATTATTATCCAATATGCATAAATGTCATAATTTGTGCCCTTTTTGTGTCGTGGTCCTTTGATTTATTAATTCTGGTGTTATGGCAGAACACCCCAGTACTGCTGCCGTTCTTGACGACACCGCATATTCCGCACAATATCTCGTTTTTATTTTTGTTTCCCAGAACATCTGAACCATTAAGAATAGAAAACGCTGAATCAGATCGTAAGAAGGTTACATGGAATCCTGAGCAGAACAGTACATAATCTAAGTCTTCAAGCTATTCATGAGATTCCTCCTTCAAAAAAAATTACAAAACCATCTTTCATTTCCATCTGCTGATTCAGTGCAAAGAACAAATTTGAATACCAAGGTAAATAAGTAGATGGATGATTCATACAACATAGCAACATGCAGTTTACAACATATTCTGGAAACAGAGCAAGTAATGTTATAGATTTATGGTCTGCCGTCTGGTGTTTTGTAATTTTATCTTATTCCAGGTGTCCAGATGTTATTAAGGGATTTCAAATGGAACACTGAGGATTCTTTCTTTTCATAACCTAGGAAATGTAGGTCATTTTATATCCAGTCGAATGACCACTAAGATCTTTTCCCCCAATCTGCTAACAAAAGAAGATACGAATAATAACTTAGTTTAAAATAATATAATCCAGTGACCTGGCAAACCTTATCAACTGAATCCAGTCAGCATCTATAGATTTTGACTGCTGCTTCCATTTTGTCAGATTACTTGCTGATAAAAAGTGTGCCTGGACTCATAAGAAGCGGGTGAAATAAGAGATGCAGTATTTGCGGGGATGTGTAGTTCCGGGTCATGGGTGAAGCCTGAGCTTTTCACAGGAGTCCCAGAGCAGGAGCTCTGAGTGACTCCGACAAGAACAGCTGTACCTCACACATTTGTTCGGGGTGTGTACAGACACACATGGCTGGTCAGCACAGCAGCAGTGAAGGGTAAACGGAGTTCTAAGTACAGTGTCCATTGGGGGCTCGAAGCAGAGCACAGACACACAGAGTCACCGTCCTGATGGGGACTGTCGATTTTCCTGATCTTTGGGCAGCTTAGCTGAGTTACCCTCCTAGTGAGGACCATCATCATGTCCGGTCTTGCTCATTGACTTGACTGGTCTAAGGCATTTTGGCAGAGTCTCCTTCCTGAGGTGGGCCGTTGATTGACTTGTCTGGTTTAGGGCAACTGGGCAGTCTCCCTCTTGAAGGGGATCGCTCATTGACTTGACCGTTCTAGGGCATTTGGGCAGAGTCTCCTTCCTGATGGGGATCGCTCATTGACTTGACCGTTCTAGGGCATTTGGGCAGAGTCTCCTTCCTGATGGGGATTGGTCATTGACTTTTCTGTTTTAGGGCAACCAGACAGAGTCTCCTTCCTGATGGGGATCGCTCATTGACTTGACCGTTCTAAGGCATTTGGGCAGAGTCTCCCTCCTGATAGGGACCACTCATTGACTTGTGCACATCCAGGCAGGTGGGCAGAGGTGTCATAGTGAACATTAACTGAGCCAGACAGCAGTCAAATTGCAGACACACTCTGGCCGGCTGCTGCAGCACCTGCACCGAATGCTAAATGGATTGCTGCGTGTTCAGATATACGTGCCTCTTCCCCGAGATCATCACCAAGCCCAGACCATGATGACAGCCTGGCCATCTACATAAACCATCTGCACTCTTCATCATCAGCCACACGCACAGAAACAAAAGGACATAACTTACAGCATCAGCTTGTGATATTAATAATGTGTATTGATTGCAGGTGTCGTATTAAAGCTCCAAATATGATTGAGTGAAATATCACTAGACGATTCCTTTTAGGGACAGCGCTAAACCTTTTCTGACCTCCCATGATAAATCGTTACACAAAGCAATAAATGTGGTCATTTTTTTTCTTCCAGTTTTACTCCCAGGACATTTTTTTTTCATTTTTTTCAAAATATCTAAATAAATGAATAAATAAATAATTGTTCCCTGTGCCAAAATATTAACCTCCTTGTCTGTCATTCTCAGGCACATTGATCCAGCTTTGCTTTGCAGTGGGTTACTGTGTTTAGCACAACGATGATATAAATCTTCCTCATTCTGGTTAATACTAAGGCTTTTCAGTCATAAGTCATCTTGGGAGCACGCAACAGGTACATGTCAAACAGAGATTCCTCCAAATTAAAACATTCATCAGGAGCATAAGCAAGCAGACTGAAAGTGGTGATTCTGCGTCACGTATAGACCACCAGGGTGGGGGGGGGGAGGGCGTTGTAGACAGAAGGTCAACGAGGTGGACAGAGCGCCTATCCAAGCCCATGTCCGTCGCCAGACTCCTAAGAGGATTTCACAGGACAGACAATCCATTAGCGTTTGGAAGTAGCGATGGACGGAGGGGCGGAGCTACATCGTAGCACAGTATCAGAAAGAGTGATGGCACACCAGGCGGAGGTTGTGCGCCTCCACAACTGCCCATCGCAAAGATGGCAGAGTGCCCCCCACTTCATCTCTGCCTGCCAAGGAACGAGGGCAGACATCTCAGTTAAACCCAGCTAAAGCCCCATTGTCTCAATACATCAGCATACGTTCATACAGCCAGAGGCGGACATTGCAGGTCCAGAAAGTAAAAATCCAGACCAGGATTTTGGTTCAACCAATCAGTTGAGGACTCTGTGACTGTGACTCTTTATACTCAACTGGTTGGTTGAAACAAAATCCCTGTTTGGATTTTTACTTTCTGGACCTAAAATGTCCACCTCTGCATACACCCTTTTATCTATAATGAACAAGATCCATATGACTAATGCAACCGATTTCATGTTCAAACTACTAATGTCAATAAAAAGGTAGAATTTTGTTAATCAGCATATCATCGTTATTGCTTGCTTGGGAGATACTCTGATCAAGGCCGATATAGTTTGGGAATCAGTACATTTTCAATGTATGAAACACTAAATCAAGTCCAGGAAGTAGATCACTGAGGGTGTGGTCTTGTGACCTGAAGTTTCCTGGGTCGAGCATTTGTGGAGATGCTCGTTTGGTCCAGGAGGCAAATTCTTTTGAATATCCATCAAAGAAGCCACAACGCAGTAATTTATTCGATAACTGCATTTTTTTTCATGTGTTCATTGTTTTCAGTGCAAAACAGTAAAAAGGTGAGTTTTTAATGTACAAGCTGACCAAGAATCTTATTGGAGGTATCTTGAGTGACCGGTCCTCCTAAGACTGACCTGCACTCTGTAAAGGATGCTGACCACCTGATTCTGCTCCCTCCCTTTGCCAGGATTACACCATCACCATGTATTTCCAGCAAAGCTGGCGGGACAAGCGGCTGGCATATGCCGAACTTGCGCTCAACCTCACGCTAGACAACCGCGTGGCTGACCAACTCTGGCTCCCGGACACCTACTTTCTCAACGACAAGAAGTCCTTCCTGCACGGGGTGACGGTGAAGAACCGCATGATCCGGCTGCATCCTGACGGCACGGTCCTCTACGGACTCAGGTGGGCCTCCTTCAGTTCCTCGCTGACGCTTCATATGGCTCGCCGACTTCATGACACCGGGAGGAAAATTGTGGAAAACAAATTTGCAGTAAAAAAAACACAAACAACAATGTCTTGTCAATAAGGTCCTTAAAAACTTCTCATAAAACCTTCTCCCCTCATGGTAATATATCAGGAAACTGTAAGTTCCATGATTCCAGTTGTCCAGTATCAAATGCTGAGACTGATTTGATTTCATTTGTGTTCATCCTCTACCGGGATCTTATTTTCTTGTCTTAAACACTTAAATCATGGGCCAGGCCCATGCGACACATGAACATAGCTAAAATCCCTTGGATTTAAAGTTATGGTGCAGTTAAGAGACAGGAACACCTTTCACAGTGATCGCAAGCTTCACAATTACAGATAAAAACAAATCCAGCGACATCCCTGGGAAGAAGCCAAGTTCCTTGGACATCTGTTGATAATGACTGCATGAGCTGTGATGGGAGGCAGGCATTAATATTGTGAACTTGACATATTGAACATACGCCATATCTTTGCCATTTTGAGCATCGTGCAGAAAATCAGCTTTCTCTCTAGCGATGCTTGCGTGGGCAGCTAGACCTAATTTATGGACCCTCTTGCAGATACAAGGCAGCGTGTAGCTATTGACATTTTCCAGAAGCTGCCAGACTCCGCTTCTTCCTTCTTGCGCGTGTCGCACCGATGTTTATCTTTTCCCTTAATTAAAGGCAAAGTTATGGTGTACAGTATATTATTACTGCAGCTTTAACGTATAGAGGGATTCTCGACCCCGGCTGAATACACGAGGTGGATGCCATATGGCACTGGACTTCGTCCAAGCTGCGGGGTCGAGACTGATGACAGTCCAGCCGTGAAGATCTAATTAAATCGACAAGGCTTTATAGACGTAATGCTAAGCTGCACCTCCTGCGAGGCGGAGGTGCTGGAGATCAGGTCTCGGCCCCATGTTGGAGGAGAGGGTCTGCAAGGACAGCTACCCTCCAGGGTGTCAGATAGGCGGTCACGGGGAGGAGAGACAGCAAGCACTGGGATAGCAAAGAGGCATGCAGTCATAAACAGCTTTGAGGATGATAAGTCCCTGGTGGAACATCCATAAACTTCATTAAGTGTTCTGCAGAGATGGAGCACCACAGAATCTCCAAATGGCTTCTGTTCATAGTGGCCTTACAGATGATGGTATCTTTTCGTAATTATTTGCTTTGAAACAAGGCCTGGGGTGGAAAAAAAAAGAAAAGAGAAATGGGTCCAGAGGGAGGCCTATATAAAAATGTATTTAACTGGCTTTGTTTTCCTGTTACACCAAATGATGCTGTACCGCTTTCCATAAGCGCTGCAGAACAGAATTCTGTAGCAGTGTATTAATGAACATTTCCCCAGTGGTCTGTGCGGGTCAGCGGCGTGCAACTCTCGAAGCCAGAGGTTTACATTCACATTTGCATTTATTTGTTTATTTGGCTATTTATTTGTTTGTCAAGCACTTTTGTCCGATGTGACGTACGAGGCAGACAATAAATCACAGCTATCAAGAAGCCAACGTAGCTGCACTTGTTGCTGGGCGTGGACTTCCAATGAGTGACCAGAAACAAGTGCAAGGTGGTCTTGGAGCCGGGCTTATTGGATGCTGATGAAGTAGCCAAAAAAAACTAATGGTTTGAGTTTTTTTTTTCCCCCCAGTAATCAGGCTACCAGGCAACAGAACCACTGAGATCCTTCCGGAATTTGTCCAGAAAGACCACAAGGCAAAAATTCCCCACTGATGTTCAAGCTGTTCCCTGTGAAAGAAAAAAAAAATCACTGCATTTGTATTACTATTGAAAGTCTTTTTCTTTAATATGAGTAATCGCACCGGAGATCTGGCTGTGCTGTGATGGCTCCGGTGAAGAACAGCCACGTTCGAGCACACTGAAGACAAGGTGCTGTGCTGGGAGTTCCTTCTAAAGCTAGAGGCTGTTGCCCAGTGGTAATGAAATCACAGATCGACGGCAAACAGATCTGTGGAACTAGCCCGAGAGCCTGCCGATGTCCGGTAAATGGTGCACCCTCCTGCTCGGGCTTCCGTGTGCCGGTGAAAAGACACCAAAATGCTGTACACGAGGAACAAAATGGTTGCTAGGGAAAGGCCTGCACCCCGCTAAGGCTTCTGCTTTTGTCGGGCTCCTGTTTGCTTAGTTATCATACGATTTGTGCCACGGAGGGTGAGAAAAAAAGGATAATCATTTCTTAATAAACACACCGTTTCGAGTGCGAGTATATTTTTCTCGTGACCCGCTCGTTTTGAAGTTTCCATAGCAGCGGCCGTGCATGGCCGCGTAGCCGCAGAACGCGACGCTCTGAGATAATGGGCTGCAAACTCAAGTGGCTCGATGTTTAGAGGGTGCACGGCTGCAACAGGAAGTGCGAAAGACTGAAAAGGGAGTGGGGTGGCGGGAGGGGGGGATACTTACGATAAAGAAAAAGAAATACAAATATGCTGGTCTAAAGCATCTATTTATGTGGAGAGCTAAGGGCACGGATGCTAAGGCTAAGGCCCACATTTGGTGATCGCAAAACGTTTGCATGCCCAAAATATCAACATTAACCAAGCCGTTTTTCCACTGAACAGAGCCCAGGGCATCGTACTTAATGTGGACTTTGTGATATTATGATGCGAACGGGGGGCAAATTAGCGAAAGACGAATTAGCCTGTGCTACTCCGATGCAGCATCTGGGGCGGCTTCCACGTCCCATCACGTCCTGTCAGCTCACGCAAATCAAGAGTACCGCATTTTGTGGACAAAATCACCACATGGCTTATTTTCCTGAAGGTCGCAGGACCAGGGTTATTATCGTTAACGAAACTGGAAACTAAATCTATAGGAAAACATTATTTGTGAACAGAAATAAAATAGGACATGAAAATAAAACTAAATGAAAACTCTAAATATTGCTTCCAAAACTAACGGAAATAAAATTTCAAATACTTTGTGTTATTTTTAAAAACGATTTTGTAATGATTTGTTCATTTTTCCTCCTTGATGGAAATCGTTCAAGTAAACGTAATCCTGCATATTGTCTTTAGATGGCCATTTATAATACCCGGAACAGTGTTCTGCCCATTTTGAGTACATAACGTACACTTCATGTGAGTATTCATGCTGGATTTTCTAAAGATACATAAAATATCTCTACAACTTTCAGTCTATCCCTAGAAATAAATCTACTTCAACTGAAACTAAAATATATAAAAACTAAAACGAAATATTCCTTTAAACTATTAAAGGAACAAAACATTTCAAATGAAAATTGAAAACAAAAATAAAAAGTAAATTAATCAAAACTATAACACTGCACAGGACTGATGGTTCTGTGGCATGCATGGTTAGCTTAGCTGTTAGCCAGGTGCATTTCAGACAGATTTTATATAACTTCAGAGAAGGCAGACTAATGCTCTTACAGAACGCTTGTTATGCAGGCTATTGACGACACTGATATATTTTTTTAACTAATTAAACGGTAAAGTCTATCATGTCCACTTTTCCTCGTAGGACAGGGATCAAAGGTTTGTGATAAAAAATGACACATGGCAGGTTGAGACATGTCAGCAGTCAAGCGGTAAGCACACAGTCTGTCTCACACAAATACATTCCTGCTTTAGGGTAATTGTGTTTGTACTCCGGGAAGAGAACTGTGGGTACCCAAAGAAAACTGGAACACATGGCGAGAACGTGCAAAATCTCGGGCTCCAGACAGACAAGGTGCTAGCGATACCTGCTGATCCACAAAGGCAGACTTCAATCGTCGATCAGACACGTAAACATCGCATTATGCCATTCCCGGTCCCATATGCTCCTTCAAGGTGTGAAGAGACCAAGGAGAATCATTCAAAAATGGTGTCTTTGCATGGTTAACGCTTCAACGTGGCAATGAACTAGCCAAAAACAAGTATCTTGTGTCACTACACAGAGCCACAGAATCTTGACCAATCACCACGTGGGGTCACAATATCCAGACCAATTGCTACACGGGGCCCTCGCTTGGCCCATCGGAGCTCCACAAGCCGGTGGCCGAATTCCTCGAGCTTAGGTCACCCCTTGTGGTTTGCAGTGCGAAAAAGGGAACTGGTTGGCAGGGGTGTGAACAGGAAGAGAGCGAGCGTCACCAGCTGTACTAAACATCGTAAGAAGAAGGGATCAGTAAAACGATGAGTATCCCATTCACTTTGCCTGGCGAGGGATGTCAACCGGGAGAAATTGGCCCCATAGTGATTAACCTAGCCAATTAACCTGAGAAGGGTAATACGAGAGCACGGAATAAGGAAGCACGTTAACAGACATGCTAATACGACGTTTGGTTTCCGTGTTCGTCTGCACGGGCTTCTTACCAGGACATTCCCACTCAGTTGAGGTGTTGATATGAACAGCATGAACATAGAAGTAATTACTAAATGTGCTGCCCTAGTAGGTAGCCTGAAAATGACTCCTTCCCCCAAAACACATCATAGTGTAGGTGAGGAGCGCTCTCCAGTCCACAACGTGGAGCACAGTATCACTTACAGAGCGCAGCCGAACCTTCCAGAACTTGCTGGGATTTAACATTACTAATGTAATTACCAACATCACTGGGGAGTCTATCACTTCAGGATGAACCATTCGTGTTCAGCTGTGCTTTCTTTAACACCTTAATTTCACACCGGGGTAGAGACTGTAAATGATACGTCACCTCTGAAGTTTAGCATAACTTACAGTACCAAACCCGCAGCCCGACATGACTGAGGGTGATAATCACTCACACTGTTGATAAGGCCTATTTAGAGTAAGCGGTTATTTTTAATGGGAGGACCTGTAACCTTGCATACATCCGTCTTCTGTCCAAGGTCCTGGTCATGAAGGATAGGGGACTGTAAGCTGTCCTAGGCAGCACAGGACCAGGGCACAGCTGAAACAGGACACCAGTCCATCACAGGATACATGTGCATGCTCCTGGCTGGGCTCCAGACCCCCGCAACAGGACAAGATGTTTCAGAAAATGCATGAATGGATGTTTTTGGACTGTGGGAGAAAACCAGAGCCAGTGAGCCGCCAGTTTAAAATCTGAAGTTGGTGTAAAAAGTTGCAGTGAAGGTCCAGTAATCGTGTTACAGTTAAATGAAAAAGCAAATGATTCGTGTTATTATGTGATGCTGATAATGCTGAGTTATGAGAGTACTGAGGAAACGTATTAACTCTAGTAAGTGAGCATCAATAATCATTTTGTGTCTGGAAGATCTTTTTTTAAATGCCATTTGTCTCTGGTTATATAAAACTGTTACATATTAAACCGTAAGGAAAGTGATCATTAATACACTTTTTCTGATTCATCATCACTGAAAATGCTGACTTCTTGATTACTTAATTATTTGTATCTTGCTAGCTCTTGGTACTGGGTGCAGAATGTCTAGTGTATCTATATCTGTAAATACGCCTATTTTTAAATGCACTCACTGTTTTCCCTAAAATGGCGCTTTTCCACTGGCATTCAGGAACCAAGACCCGACCCGAGCCTCACCGCAAAGAGAGACTAGTTACAGCACGGTTCCAGCTCGCTTTGGAACCATGCTCAATAAAGCCGTAGGGCCATGTCAGTGAGGGTACGGCTCGGGTACGGCTCGCATTATTTACGATAGAAAACCTCCGGTTCCCCAGTACAGCGTGTTAAAGACCTTGCCGGGTTTGGAAAGCACCAGTGACCAAAGGGATATTTATTTACTGTTCACACGGTGGACATCATGATTTACTATGTGGAAATATCCGCTAGTATGTCTGCGAGAATCACTACGTAATGTTAGCATGAAACACTTGCGGAATTAGCATTCGCTTGTGTAAATTTACAATACGAATCAATTCCGTTCAGCTGTTCTATAGACTTTTTTAGTAGGAGGTTGGAAATTTCCAAGTTTGGGAATGCATCAATACATCATAATGTGTGATTCTACTAATAATAATATACAGAATATGCCCCTTTTTCCTTCAGATAATCCATGCATATCGAGGAAGAACAGCAGTGTCCCCATGCATTTTGACCAATCAGATGGTGGTGACGCAAGCAGCTCGGTTTGGTAACACTTTCGGCAGTGAGCTGGGCCCTGACAACACGGTTACGGCTTGGATAATTTACAGTGGAATACCGTCAGTTTGCGGTACAGCTCGGTTTGGTCGCGCTTTCGGCAGTGAGCTGAGCCCTGACAACACGGTTACGGCTTGGATAATTTACAGTGGAATACCGTCAGTTTGAGGTACAGCTCGGTTCTTCATGGCAGTGGAAAAGCACTATAAGTTACTTAGGCAAAATGTGAATTACACATGAATACCAAGTCTCTCCAGCTGCAGGACTCTGCTATGAGTCCGGTCCTCAAGTTCTGCCCCCCCCCCCAAGGATGAAATAGCCTTCTGTGTAAAAAGAGGAGTCAGAGGATTAAAGGGGATTAGTGAACCCTTGACGTGTGGGGGCCAACCCATTCAGTACCTCCTAAATTAAGGGTACATTGAAACTGCCCCAGTATTTTTCCAAGCAGACAGCATTCATCTACACTATATTCATGTTATTAGTTGTGCGGATGTTTACTTCTGCACTTAGGACAAACTATCAGGCATTTTTGTGTTTTTTCAAGTGTCTTTTAATCCAGATTTTTCCTATTAAACTGTTTGCAGAAAGCAACCCTTGGTGGTGACTGACTTGGTAGCTAGGTAACACTTTACCTAAAGTAGTCATGTATAATACCTTCATAATGCATTATGATGCATTCATAAAGTTATTATAAACATGGATATAAGTATTGATAAAAAGACACAACACATTATAGCCAAGTTTATTGTGCACTATGAACTCTTTGTGAAGCTGTCATCTATAATGCCCTACAGATACCTTCATAATGTCGATCAATGCACCCTTAATTCTTATACTGGCCATTATAATGCATTATGAAGGTATCAACTGTGCATTTTAGATGACAGCATTCATAATGCGTAGTCAGCTTGGCTGTAGTGTGTTAAGCATTTTTATAAATAGCTATAGCCCTGTTTATAATGCTTTATGAATGTATCTATAATGTATACATCTTTAAGTAAAGTATCACCGGTAGCTAAAATACCTTCTGAAGGAAAGGATCTATGCCAAGAGTTAGAGCCCGAATGCTACCTGCAAGCTGATCACAGTCCTTTCCTTTGATAGTGAAATTGCCGAGCTTTGAGCTATTGCCAGGGCGCGTCACAGTCCATGATACACTTAATCGTCATGGCAGCAGAGAAACCGCGATATTGATCACCCCCGTCAGGATCCTGTCTCACCTGCCACCCTTCCCTCCCGGGTCTCTTTAACGTGAACGGTGACCCGGTACGTGACTGTGTCTCTGCCGGGAGACTCGGCAGGAGGAGAAATGTGTTCGCAGATCAGGCCCAGCTGCAGTTTGCCACACGGGGGCCGAGACGCCGTCCGTGAGGGGCCCGTCAATCGTGGCGTGGAGAGAAATCTAGACCCGGGACTGAGCAGAGAGACAAAGGATCATCATGCTGTAAACCAGCTAGTGTACAAACCCCCCCCCCCCCCCCAAGATAAAGGGGGGGGCTGTCTTTCGACGTGCTGTATTCATCACTCGCCTACCAAACAATTGCATTTTTTCATTCTTCCCTTTTCCAAAGCATGACAAGCGGACGCTGAGCATTACTCATTACCGGGCGTGCACGACGCAGTCAAGGCTAAGCTGCCGTTTCCCCAAAGGTTACCATGGTAACGGCCTCCCCGCCCCCCCCCCCCCCCCCACCCCCCCTCTGTTCTCCCTCTCAGGATAACCACGACGGCGGCCTGCATGATGGACTTGAGAAGATACCCCCTCGATGAGCAGAACTGCACCCTGGAGATTGAGAGCTGTAGGTAGAACCCGGCCCGGGCCCATTCACCAGGGAGGTGCCGCCGTCTCCCTGCCATTTCGCCAAACGTCCCAGCATCCATTTTAAAAAGCGCCGGGACGGCAAACTGGCGTGTGCAGAGCTGCCGTCAGCTGGCTACAAATCAAAGAGAATCCATTCCTTTTATGTCTTCAGGTTCGCTCTCTGGCGCCTCTGAGAGCGAGTTAAACACGTGGGGACCTAATGATTTCTTTTCTTGTTTTTTTTTTTTTTTAATATTGTGGATGAGAAAATGTGTCGGTGAATCGCAGCAGTGTTTACTTACTAGGAAATAAAACAGGCGCTTCTGGAGTCCTACTAACTATCTCAACTTAACCACCAAAGGTCACGTGTCAGAAAACGCCCCAGAGCAGGCTGGGAAATAATGTAAACAGGTGGAAAATGTCAGCGGAAAAAATAATTTAAAACGTGAAGTGATAAAGTCACAAAAAGTCCCGTGTAAAATAAGATGATGTTTCGTGTGATGCCCGCCTGGGAATACAAATGGTAATTGTTAATTAGCATTAACATTAATTAGGAAGGCCTAAGGAGGGTTAGGTCTTTCGACAGCACTGCTTGCTAAATGCTAGGTGTGGAATAGCCACTAAATGTAAATGGCTGGCTCATAATTAGTGAGTGGGGGAACACACATGTGACCCACCCACTATCATTTATGAAAATCTGTTTCCTCTAATGAATCGATGTGTCATTAGCACCGATAAAGCTGAGTGTAGCACCGTACTCAATCTGGACATCGACTACAGATCCTTAGCAAATATCCAGTGCTATAAACAGGGGCGAAAATGCATTGTACTGTCTCAAAAACAATAGCAATAATAATGAGCAGCAGATGTATTAATTATTGATCCATACATCTTCCAGCTACATCTCCTGCTCAAGGTGGCTGCGGGCTGGAAGTCTGCACCAAGTGGTCGCAAGAACCCCAAGCTAGGGTCACTCCCAGGGATGGGATGCCAGTTATTAATTTTTATAGTAACTTTGAATTCACTTACAGTTTTTAGATGGTCACATGACAAGTTTTATCTGGCTCAAGGGGTTTTTTCATTACATTTAGCCATTTACTGTCGGGAGTAAGGATAGGGACATCCAGCTTATTGGATCTCGGGGCGTGTGTGGGACCTCTTTTGCTGCGTCACAATGTCACAGGAAGGCAGCCTCACGCATTTTCATACGGAAGATGTGCGCCGGATATTTACATAGCTGGATTAGTACCAACCTCCCTGGCTGTGTCACATCCCATAATAGCATTACATAGCCATCTTGACAATGCAGGCTATGGCATCGGCAGTCACTAAAGGTGCATCAGGTAGCATGGGAGGAACATTAACACACTGAAGTTTGCTAATTGGCATTCCATGAGGGGCTCTGCTCTTGTACCATTAAGCAGGGTACTGAATTGAGTTGCTCTGCTGTATAAAATACCTAAAATTAAAACTCTGGGAAAAAGTATCTCATAAACAACTAAAGAGTAACTTTTAGTTGTTTTATTGACTGTCCTGCCAACAACGGGAAAATGTTTCTGTTTTTCAAAGATATTTTTCAAGAGACCAGCAAAAAATGTTATATGATTGCAAGTACACAAAATGTACCAAAAAATCCTGTACAAACATAAACAAATTTATATCAGCATTTTATACAATTAAGCTGAAAAGAGAATGGAGCTCTTTGTTGGATGGCTCCATTTAATACACGCGTCTGAGTAACCTTTCCGTATGTAATCAAACGGCGATGATTTATTAACCGGCTATGTGTTACGGAACAGCCGCTGAATGGCTGTATCAGATAAAACCCAGAATGGCAACATACTAAAGGTCACTTCTGACACAGCAGGACATGATATCACGACCCTTTTTTCCGTTGTGCGAGCTGTAAATCTGCATACTTGCAGGGGCAATTCTAGGATTTTTTTAAGGTGGGGGGCGGGCATAAGAGGGGCTATAATTCATACTGAGGGGCAAGCCCTATGTTTCAAATCATTGAGTGACATAAAAATGTGGCCAATCAGCTTTTGGCTAAGGCCAGTGCCCCTGTGACCTCACCCCTGTATACACCCTCGCATAGCTGGCAAGACAGAAGACGGACTTCGATGCCATCTTCCCCGTCCACTTGCTATCTGCACTGGGGCCCAGCTGCCTGTCTCTGGAGCTCACTGCAGCCATCCAGCACTCTGCTTACATCACAACTCGCACACACCTCCTGCATCTGCAGTCCTTATGTTTTATTCTGTTACCGTCTGCACTATTGTCTCCATCGTCGTGTTTTTCCAGCTACTGGCTGCCTAAATTTCCTTCAAGATTAACGAGGGATCATCCATCCATCCGTCCGTCGGTCTGTCTGTCTGTCTGTCTGTCTTTTGTGGTTCTGCTGGACCGTCCAACATTTCAGCCATGAGCACGCCCCCAGTGCCTTCTAAAGGATAAAAGGGAACATTCACCTTATATTGCCAAAGAGAGCTGATCTGATTAATAATCTATTTAGTTGTTTTATTTGTTTTTTGTTTTCTTTTTTACCTACGTTTCATTATGTATACCGGGGGCTGCAGTCTAAATCTTCCACTCCAACCCCAATACCCTGAAATCCTGGTCAAAATAGACTGTAGCTTTTTTTTCTTTGCACAACAAATTTCACAAGACAGAGAAAAGAAAACCGTTGCAGCAAAAACAACAGGGGTCACCTGACCACAGATTCTAGTACAGGAACGGGCAACTTGATCCAGAAAGGGCCATTGGGTATGCGGGTTTTCACTGCAACTCCCTAATTAGATTAATAATTAGAGGACTGATTTGCTGAAGAGTCCTCACACCTGGGTTTGAACAGCTGACTGAAAGGTTATCCCAAAAACCTGCATACAGACCAACCCTTTGCGGATAAGATTTCCCACCCCTGCTCTGGAAGGGGGTCAATTCTTTATAATGGCTTTTGGAGAAAAGTTATTGCAGAACACCCTTAACCCTTAGAACCCGACAAACGCAAAATGCATTGATTTTTGCACCCATTAATCTCAGGCTTGTAACTTTGGATAGGTGTAACACAGAGAGGAATTACTCGATCCGGCCGTCCAAGTCGCAATATTGTGTGCTAAAGTATTCCAGAGTAATCCTGTGCGCAATGAGACATACATTTTAAAGATTTTCCACCAAAACGCACCCCTAACAATCCATGAAACATCGATATTATTCCGATTAGATGGAAAACAAAGCACATATTTGCTTCCACAGTGATCCACACAAAAAAAAAATTATTTAATAATTAATTTAGAAAAAGACTCAAAAATGGGCTGGAGTTCTGATAGAAATAACAATAAAGCGCAGCATTCTATTTATATATAAACATATATATATATATATATATATATATATATATATATATATATATATATATATATATAAACATGCAAGTTACCAAAAACACACAGCATATGTGGCTGACTGATGTTCATACCATGTAATAAGTCTAAAATCAAAGGGATAGAAAGACGCTCAAAAACGGAGAGAGTTTAAAGGGTTAAAAGTTTTGTTAATCAGCCACTGTACTGTTGTTCCGAAACATTTCCAGAAATAGATTTTTTGGTTGCACCTGGCTAAAGTGTCAGACTTATTAAACACATTTACTACTGCCAACCCTAAGAATGCATTTCTAGAAACTCACTTTTTGGATTAGTTCCATAAAATATCACTTTTTTCCCCCAAAGATTACCTCTATACTCACAGCTTTTTCATTCCTCTCAAGTCAACAAGAAAACAGTTTTAAAAATGCAATAAAATCATGCAGGGTCAGGAACACAAAATGCAAGAACAACAGAGACTGAGAAAGGATTCCGGATAATTACACCCAGCCGGAAATAAATCCCTGCATCCTTACCAACTACCCAATTACCCTACTCTAAGAATACTGCTAGCCGCTACAACAAGTGTAGCCAAAAAAAAAAGTCTTTCAGAGACATGATTGAGAAAATGATTAAAAACGGATGGATCCCAGCCTGGGAAACTGTACAACCCCCCAGTGGGATGCTTGCACAAGTGGGAGGGGGGGGTGGCAGGGTGGTAATTAAAGTGTGAAATATAGCAGGAGCCTCAACGTTAAGGAAATGAAATTCCCAGGGAGAGGAGGGCAGTAGGGGAGCGGAATTATGATTCAGTTTTGGTGTCACAATTCCAAGAGGGACTGCAATATAGAGCCCAGCGGTTTCACATGTCCCGAAAGCTGCACCTGATTGGTCAAACTGCATTCCACAACTAGCAGCTGTTTCATCTAATTGGTCCGATCTAACTGAAAGCAGCACTCGGCTGGTCTAATGTCATTTAAAAAGCATTTGATTGGTACAATCTCCTGAAAGCAGCATGCGGTGAGTCTGACTTCCTCAAAGCAGCATCCGATTGGTCCGATCTATCTGAAGCAGCATCCAATTGCACTAATCTCCCTGAAGCAGTATTCAATTGGTATGATCCCCCAAAGCAGCATCTGACTGGTCTAATCTCTCTAAACAAGAATATGATCGGTATGATCTCACCGAAGCATTTGTCCAGTCTCCTCCTGGTGCATTTTCTCTGAAGCAACTGTTAACCAAGTCCAATCACCTAACCGTTGTCCTCCTCTTCACAGATGGATACACAACAGACGACATTGTGTTCTTCTGGCAAGGTGGGGACAACGCAGTGACAGGTGTGGACAAGCTGGAGCTGCCTCAGTTCTCCATCGTTGAGTTACACCTGGTATCGAGGGAGGTCAGATTCACCACAGGTAAGGGCCCATGGGGAAACAATGACACACCTATTGTTCTGTTTCAGGGAAACTCTTTGATGACTTGTTGATCACAGTACCTTTAGAAGACTGTTCAGATCAGAGATGGAGCCAATCAATGTGAGCAATGATGGTCACCTGACTCACTCCCAGGAGGAGCCACACCCCATCTACTCAGTTATAAAAGTTTTTCGCATGGCACATGTCAGAGGAGACTTGCTCTAAAATTAAAAAGCAGGCAGACTGCAGAGAGCCGAGATCAGGATCCATAAACCTCCCTTAAGCGTGTTGGGCAGCTGTGGTTCCCACAGCGGGACAAATGCTGCCGATCTCCCCGCACTGAGGAAAAAGAGAGAAAGCACCAGGGAACCGAAAAGGATGCTGTGCTTGCAAGTCTGCGCCGCATTCAATCGGAAATCGAACCTGTTCCTTAAAATGAAGGAACTGAAGAGATGAAGCAGCCTGCGAGGGCACACGGAGAAATGGATACATGGAGCACTAGACTTTCCTTCTTCCCTTCCCTGTCATTAACGTAGACTCTGTTTCTCTCTCCTCTCCGTTCCTGTTCATCTTTAAGGCTCTTATCCTCGGCTCTCCCTGAGCTTCAGGATCAAGAGAAACATCGGCTACTTCATCCTGCAGACCTACATGCCTTCTATCCTGATCACCATCCTCTCCTGGGTCTCCTTCTGGATCAATTACGATGCCTCTGCTGCTCGGGTGGCCCTGGGTGAGTTGGCTGCACTGGGAAAGGACAGGGTGCTTAAGAGGGATATTTCAAGTGTGTGTATCACCTTCCCACCATGATGTTTGGTGTGACATTGGTACCAGAGCAGCCTCAAGGGACCGGGGACTGTTAGCTGGATTTCTACAAAGCTCAGAGACATGTCAGTCACTCACTACTGCTGCTGGATACTAAGCTTTAGAGGTTGGCAACATACAGCTCTGCAAAAAATTAAGAGACCAAAGCAAAAAAGTTTCACTTATTTCTTAATTTATGGGTATGCGCCTGCGTAAAACATACATTTTTTTGCAAACTCTAACCTGGCTCTTCCCTGCTTCTCATTGATGAAGGGCGTCTTCCTTGCTTTATTGGTCTTCAGGCCTGCTTCTAGGAGCCTGTTATGAATTGTCCTAGCAGTGCACTTCACACCACTTAATGTTTCCCATTCTTTTTGAAGGTCACTTGAGGTCATCCTCAGATTTATGACGCACTGCAGGATAAGTCGGTGGGCATCTTTGGCATTCGAAAGTTGCTTCTGCTTTCTTCCTGGCTGGTTTTCGGTCATTCCCAGTGTCTCCTGTTTCACCTTGTTCTTGCGTACTGCTGTCTTAGAAACTTTGAGCCTGGAAGCAACCTGTCATTCACTGTAGCCTCTGCCAGCAGCATCGGGATTAAACTAGGATTTAAAAATGCAGATTTTTTTTTTAAAAAAAAGGCAGTCTCTTAATTTTTTCCAGAGCTGTATGTGAAATGTAGGCCGCTCAATGCTATGTACAGACGGAAGTCAATCTAAAAGATGTCTTCAGGCTCAGTTCATAATTAGTTGACCTTGACTGGCACGCTGGTCATATGTATCATGTGCCATTTTGCTAATGGTTTTTCCTTTCTGCCAATGGCAGGTGTTACGACGGTGCTCACCATGACAACCATCAACACCCACCTGCGAGAGACCCTCCCAAAGATCCCCTATGTCAAAGCCATCGACGTCTACCTCATGGGCTGCTTTGTGTTTGTGTTCCTGGCCCTGCTTGAATATGCCTTTGTAAACTATGTGTTCTTTGGCCGGGGGCCCCAACAGCAGAAGAAGGTCAACGAGAGGCTCAACAAAGCCAACAACGAGCGTCAGCGCTACGAGGAGAAGCGCATGAGAGAGCAGGTTTGTGTCTGTGGATCCCCCCCCCACCTCGCCCAGTAGCATTTTACATGCGTACGTGCCCGACTCCACTCTTAAATGTCTGAGTTTTAAGCTGGATCACGCGTAGCTATCTCTAGGGATGTGTTAATATGGATCCTCACGTGCGACAGACGTAGACTCACAGGGACCTGAGGTTCGATGTGCTGGAAGACATAGCGTGTGCTTCAAAAACATCATCCATTGCTTTCCTCGAATAGTAACATTTAATTTAATTGATTGTAGTTTTTCCCCATTTAACTATCTGTTCATGCTGTGCTGAAGCTGTACAAGTGTTATGTGACCATTACCAGGTTACCGCTTACTTACGCTTTCCGTCTTGCATACTGAAATATGACGTGCCATGCTTCTGTGGAACTTATTACGGGTTATTGTCATGTTTATGCGTAGTATATATTTGGAGAATGTGCTTTGTTGTCGCTGTAATCTGGACGTTTTAATGTTCTCTTCACTTTTCTTTTTGACATCGCAAGGACTCCATTTCAGCGCCGTTTCAAACCAACACCCTCAGGTCATATACACAGCGAAGGAATCTGTATCTCGAGGAACAAAGAAAAGTTGGGGTACATTCCTTTAGATGTCATACTAGCTGACTGGCCACTGAGCGTGGATGAGTGCAAAGGTCACCCTGTAGTAGTATCTTGTTAAACCTGTTTTCCAGCAATTATGCTTTATGAGTTAGGAGTTGAGCATAAGTAAGAAGACCTTTTGGTCTTGTGAGTGATAACTAAACTCTCACGTTGGTATTTTTAGCGTAGCATCTAGCCATGTGCCATTTCTGTTCATGTCATCATTGCATTCACGTCGGACTGAAACCATAAAACAGACTAAGTTAAGGGTGCTGAGTGATTCTGCTGTGACGGAAGCCCGCAGCTGCGCAGCTGAGATGCTCTTTTCCGTGTCGCCGCTCTAGGTGGATGCATACGGGAACATCCTCCTGACGACGCTGGAGATGAACAATGAGGTGATGCACTCCGACCTGGGGAGCAGCGTCAGCGACTCCAGGAACTCCGTCATGTCCTTCGACAGCTCCGGCGTGCAGTTCCGGAAGCCGGTAACCTCCCGGGACGGGTTCGGGCACCACTCGCTCGACCGCAGTGCCATGCGGAACCGGGCTAACTGTAGGCTCCGGAGGCGGTCGTCGAAGCTGAAGTTGAAAATCCCAAACCTTTCCGACGTCAGCACCATTGACAAATGGTCCCGGGTCATTTTTCCCATTACTTTTGGATTCTTTAACCTAATCTACTGGTTATACTATGTGAATTGATGTGCATCAGTTTAGGAAACATGGGCCATATTTTGAGAGCACATTAAATTGGCTTTGATACGATTGGAAAATATGTATATACATATACTAATTGCTATATATGTATATGCATATTTATACATATTATATTTATATATACACATGCGTGTAAATCTAAAAGACTTTTCTGATGTAAAAAGTATTAATAGAATGACTTGAATGTTTAAAAAAAAAAAGCGAGAGAAACATTTCAGGCCTTTGAATTTCCGTTCCTTCTGAAACAAGCAAACAAACGAAAACACCTCAAATCCCTAAGCGGATTTGGACTCAAGACTGCATGATATTTTTGCTAAAAGAAAAAGAAACATCGTTAAAAAACAAAAAAAAACAAACAAACAAAAAAATACAAAAAAAAGAGGACAGTTCGGAGAGACTCGTTGGCTTTTTATCGATACACACCATAATCTGCGTTCCCATGGCAGTTTGCGAAGCAAAAGGAGGCGTGTTGCTCAAGAGAAACCCCCCCAACTGCCTGCTTTTCCTGTTCCCATGGAGAAATCTGCGGGATTCCCAGTTTCCTACTCTGTACAGTAACCGCTTTTGGAGAGCTCGCTGTTCCTCGGTTTCCGAGCGACATCGTTCCTTTCTCGGACATCAGCCCTGCCCCGCGGTCGACATCTCGTGGTCATTTCGAGGTTTTAATCGCCACGTTTTTCAGCCCACAGCTGGGGGCAGAAGCGTCGATTTCTTTCTTACCATAATGTTTTTTCGAGCAAGTTCTTGGGGTATTTTTTATTATGATTATAATCATTGTTACTTGGTCTTGAAAACAGTGTGTTTTGGGAGTCTTCACCTCCACAAGCTCTGTAGTTAGTGAATAATTAGGTAATGGGGCACCAGTAGGCTTTATTCATCTTGATTATTTGACAAATTAACATATACTGTAGATTCCTTCATTCAGTATCACATATGACATGGTTGGTCTGTAAGTGTATCCCTTATTTCAAATTGGTTCTCAGTGCTCCATGTGTTTTGTAAATAATCAGCCACCTCATATCCAGCTTTGTGTTCTGTCAGTACTTGCAAGGAACTTCTCGGTCAGTTATAGCTTGGATTTGAAGCGTTTTTTTTCCCATCAGCCGTATAAAGATGTATAAAAAATATTGTATATTAAAAAGGGGATATCATCATTGTTGTTTTCTGTTTTAAATATACAGTAAATGGACATATCAATGCATAGTGTGAATGGCAGTTACTTATGGCATTACTGTAGTGTCAATGCCTTGATGATGGAGTTTTGTGGAAAGGTGCCCTGTTTGAAGTGTAATAGAGGTTTCCGGAGCTGGTCTGACAAGGTTTCGTAAGGTGGTCTGTAGGTCACAGAGGTCAGTTGTAGAACCCCGATCCCCAGCTACCCTCCCAACTCTTATCACCTCATGCACTGTTGTCCACCTCTACTACTGATGTCGGATCTTTTCGGAACAAATTGGAGAGGCAAAACAACGTGGTAATAACCAGGAGACAGATAAGCCCTCTAGCAGGATGAACAAGACGTGCAACAGAAGCCATTAGCTGACATTAACAACCGCAATGGCTTGTAAAGAATCCTTTCCATCTATCATCTTTTCTTGGCCCAGGCCTCAGACTTCGGTGAGATTCCATTACGAGGAACGATGGCCTGCACTCGGAGCAGTTTCCGTGCCGGTCTGGCTCATATGATGCAAAGATCCACGGTCAATTTCACGGTGCCTCAGTGTGCTCTTGCGCTCCGAAAGAGCAAGGAAAAAAAAAAAAAAAACGTAAGATTAAGCCATTTCTGTGGTGTTAACGCAACACCGTTAAATTCAATCTGCGACTTAATATATGAACACAGCTTGTAATCGCCCGATATGTGAACGCCAAAGAGGCCGCATTTAAGACATTCACATAATCATGTCACTGAATTGGCACTGTTGCGAAAATCATGTAGGCGCCGCACAGTGGGATGTTGGTGCAGAGGCAAAAATGGAGGCTTGGAAGGTGTGAGTGGGTTTTGGGGGGGGTTTGTCTGGTGGAACTGAGGGATAAGCAGTCTTTGGAAGGACACTGGGACACCACAGGGTGGGCCTGCCGTGGTCCTCAACGAAAGGCTGATGATAGGCCAAATCCACTAAACTTCTGTGGCACCGGTGAGACATGCTGGGGGCACCAAACTTGGGGAATTGGGGGGGGGGGATGCATGGGTTGAGTCATAGCATACACTGATGCGTCCAGTCCTTTATATGGCAAAACATTCATGGGGGGGGGGGGATTTGAAGGGAATGTGATAGGCCAGCTCTGTATCTCCTCCACCGCTGGGAAAATTAAATGAAGGGGGAACAAGAGGAGGGTCGCCTTTCGCTTTCGGAGCACCGTGAAAACCACATGGCCTGAATAAGGTCACTCGAATCAAAATCAGGGAGAATCGTGATACTCGCTCGTAGCTAATCCTGACCGGCCACCGCTCCTCAAACCTCTTCCCCCAGCTGCTTCTATCAAATCACTGTAAATGGTTTTGCGTTGAAGAAACGTGTGAAAGTTTAGTGGCACCAGCCTGAGTCATGCGCATTTTGTGGCAATCTACCACAGCCTTGTAAATATTAGATGTATAAACAAAAAGATTTTTTTTAAAAAAAATACTTTTCTCAGCATCTACAGTACCTAGCTCGAAATTAACTACACCGAAAACAGGACATTGCTTAAACGTTGCCTTAATACCGAAAGATATTACATGCAAAACATAAGTCCGAGGCTACTCAGCGGGGACTTTCTTTTTTCGTTTGTTTTCATCACGTCCCATGTGGGACGCTGCAGGTCAGCAGGTCATTGGATCAGAATTCCAGAGCTATTAACTAATATTGTCATACAACCCTGTCTTTGACAGGCAACAGGTAGTTTAAGAATCATTCTCCAGAGTAGGCTTGTTAATCATGGGTTATAGATCAAACACTGAGCTGTACTGATTCCATCCCACACAATCGATAAGTACTATGGAAAATAGTGAGCCTTGCTCAAGTGGGAGATCATTTTTAGAGCATAATTAGAGAGACATGAACTTTTCTGTTATATACTCCTTCGTAGCCTCTAAGTAAATGTGTCATGTTTTGTTTCAATGCAGTAAGTTAGCATTCAGTTTTGCCTTCCGATCCATCAAACAGCAGCTTCTTCCTTAACCTGGAAACCCTCACCGTACAAACGCGGTATCTATGCATCCTTTCTTTGCCCAAGTCAGGCACGGCATGCACTACAGGAAATCCTGCAATACCGTTTCATTGCGATGCATTTCTGGCAGACTATTCAGAGCCGGGGAGGACGGGAGAGTCGGCCAGCGGACGGGGCGTCCCGGATTGTGCCGCTGATAGTCCAATTTAAGGCGTTAAATCACAGAGCTCGCGGAAACTTTCGCCAAGGAAAAGGGCGTGCGGTAAATCGCAAACTCACTCTGTGAAACATGCCCCCGTTTCAGACTAAAATGTTCTAGGAAACACTGTGGAAATTCATTCTGAATTTAAGTCCCAGTATGCACTGGTGTTGAAGTTGCCCAGTTTAAAACACGCCTTACGCAGAGGATGAGACAATTTCTGACATATTAATCATGGTGCAGCCATTGTAAGGATGAGAGGCTTTGCTGTTTGTTCATTCCGCCATGATTAAAGCATCTTTCAATGTCTGAACTGCACAGTGAGGAATGAGGTGTGTGTAACCCTCTGTTACAGTAAGATTTTAAAAGAAATGGGAAGAGCAGATTGAGTTCACAAAATACAGATAAACATATTCTGTTGGTGATGAAATTAGCACTCAGAGCCAGAGATCTCTGTTTAAAAAGGTTAGCTTGGTCTACGCTGCATTCGGCCAAGCGAAAATCACAATCATTTTTCATTGTGCCACTGTAAACAGCCAGAATTCGTAGTTTGGTGGTTATAAAAACTAGAAAAACTTTAACGCACAATGGAACCAACGTCCACCCGAATTCAGTGACATGAGGTCACGAGCCACCATTTGCCTTTTAAGAAAGACAATGTTGCTGTAGCCCAATCAATGCTCTTCACAGTCTCCATTCTGAGATCTTTTAGATGTGTTAGTGTTCAACATTTGTAGACTCAAGTACTATAAGTCACTACCATAGTTAAACGGGTAAATAACCCATAATTAAGACACGTCTAGCAAGATAAGTGAAAAGAGTTATCTACAAACTAATTAACACGGCCCGCATATATATATATATATATATATATATATATATATATATATATATATATATATATATATATATATATATATCACACTGTATTTTAGAAGATAAATTGACTTGGTTGGACTGAGATGGATGAAAACCAGAGGGCAGAATCTATCTAGTTGCTGTTTAATGACATTTGTCTCCCAGATATATTGTTCGATAGCAGAGTCACAGAGTCATCTAACAGTAGTCAACTCGCAGGGTCCCCTGTCCACCTCTACAGCTACACAACCATGTGCCATTATGTGATAAGACTCCTAATACAGTCAAGCTAGCGCAGCCATAGCGACGAAGCAAGCAATTATGGATGCCATTGCCTTTCCGCCTCTAAAATCCCCTGCCCCTCCCTCGAGCGGATGGGTGGAATGAGGAAAGCGGACAGCAGCATTAGCGTGATCTTCAGTGTTGATTGGTACCATGGTCAGATACCGGTGAAGAACTGGAGGGCTGGAGCAGTTGTGGAAAATGCCTGACAGAATTTCAGATCGGGCCTTACAGTGAACACTTAAAAAGCACCGCGAAACCACATTACGTGCTGAACGTGTACCGCATATGTGGATATGAAATTGACTACTGGTCACAAGCTTGTCATGCTTTAACATCGCCTTTTCATACTGCTTTGCAGAAAACCATTTACGGTTTACTGTCTGATGAACAGTGCATGGGATTTTGTGAGGCTAGCCTTCTTAACTGGACGATGCAAAAATACTGGCATGAAGGAACTGGTCAAGAGATGCGACGGTATTACTGACAAACTTAATTTAATATTATTCATCTTGGCCTCCAATAACCCTAAAAATACCCTAAATGAACCATGTTGCACTTATTTACACCTCACCACACATTCACAACATTATGATTCCATGTTCCATACTTAACAGCGGTGTATTTGAGGTAATTCCATGAAATACACTTGTGTTTGTGTAACATTACCAATATCCTACTTTTTTGTCATTATACTATTTTTAAACTTGTGGGAAATATATTTATGTTGGGTTTTGTGGAGTTTATAGAGTGCTTTTTGATGATGTTAAAACACTTAAAATGAGTATGGCCTACTGTTTCCTTTCAGTGATGTAACTGTATTTGTGGGTCAATGAATTGAACGTTTATTTTATTTATTTTTTTGTTTTTTTTTAAGTTATCTTTGTTTCTTGTTCGGTTTTCTTCAGCCTACGTGATCAAGAAGGGTCCTCCTTTTAGGACTGGAAACCTAGCCTCCCCCACAAAACTACGGCACAGTGACAATGTAATGACCAAAATGAGCTTATACTGTGAAAAATACATTAGTTTTGTGCTCTTACAACACGCAGGTAATTTTTTTTTTTTTTTAAATCACGAAGACAAAACGCGTATAGGTGAACTCACCACAACTGTGGGTCTCCGGAGACGCTGGCCTGCGGATGGTGTCCGCAGCGGCGCTGTGCAGAGTAGGGCGCACAGGCGAGTTTTCACAGAAAACCGTCCGGTCGCTGGTAAACCGGGCCGGGGAAGCTGCGAGTGAGACTCAGCCCGACGTGTGTCCGCTTTCCCGTCCTGTCCCCCGGGCCGCAGCTCATTGGACCGGCGCGGACCATCAGCGGAGAGTAGGCGAGGTACCGAGCCGCGGTACTGACTTCAATGTGAACTTTTCTTGCCTATTGTGTATATGTGTAATTACTAGTGAACCGAGCTGTAAATAGCATACCTTTCACTTAATATTTCTTATTGCATGATCAATAACAGGGCAGTACGTAATAGCAGCCAGCTTCACTGCTAAAAGCATGAGGCTTTTGCAGCACTGACGCAATTCTGCAAACAGAGTTTCTAAAAAGGAAAAGAGGAAAAAAAACAACATTTCTTTTTAATTTTATTTTAGTTTTTTTATTATTATAATTATTTTTGGTTTCGTTGCATGTCTTTCGTTTCAGACAGTTTATTTTTGTAAATCGGTCAGATCCGGTCACATTTCCTAAAGGAGAAAGACGCGCAATTTCTGTGTGATGGCTGAAGTAAATCGCTGTTGACGTTTGTAGACGCTGGAGATTAACAGTAAATGCATTTTGTGTTGAAACCATATTAGAGACACGCGGTTATATTATGGAATCTTATTAATAAGTGCATCGGGGACTCGCTGCAATGGAGTACGGGTTTGCTTCAGTTTTTTGCTCGATGTCATTAGCCTCATTTGAGAAATCGCTACCACCTGAACCCTGAGTAATGAGAGAGACTTTTTTTTATTTTTCTTGACAAAGTTGGTTTTTGTTTCCGCCAGATGAGCCGTGTTGCAATAGAGGGTAAATAGTTTAATTTAATTATAACACACGCACAATACAGTCCAATTTCATCAGAGGAATTAGGCGAGGCGATAACGACCCTATTCCCCGGAAGATTTTACAGCAACAGAAGCCTTCCACTTGAAAGAGCTGTCAACGCGTTTCTGCTATTTGTGACACCAGCACTTAAAGGAAAAAAACTACATATACATATATGTATATGTATGTATACATATATATACTACCAACATATTAAGTAACAAAATAATTTGGCAAAACCAATTTCCTTTGGTCCTACCAACTCATGAGATTTTTTTCTTTTATTTTCCGTTTCCCTTTTGTACGTATAGTGACTGTGATATAATTTTCTACTTGGTAGACGACATTTCTATTTGCATCTTGTCTTGGGGTAGACATTTGTTTGGTACTGTATTGATTTCATTTACATTTGTTACCTCAGTCCATGGTTTAGTTATTTATTGAGGTGTTTTCTTTTCGGTATGAGATGAATTCAGCATTTGTATAGTATTGTATTTCCTTACTTTTTTCGTCGGTACCAATTAATGTAACGGTGTCTGTCGGCTTTTCTATGTGTTTGAGCAAACTGTGTTTTTTACTAATACAAGATGTGTTATATGGTATGAAAAAGGGTTATAATGAAACCACCTACGTTTTTACAAATAAAGTCTTACATAGTCAAGGACGACAACACTGTCTTTATTTGCCGTTTGAGGACTAATATTTCATATTTCATATCTGGGTTTGAGTGCTAGGAAGATTTAGTCCCCAAATGGTAAATAAGAGTTTTTGCAGAAAACAATAAAATGGAAGAATTCTTATGCCACTGTAATTCCGACCCATTCTCTGTCCTCACCTCCTGCTCCATTTTTCCGTTTCATACTTTTTTGTCTCAGGAACTGCTGGGTAATTGGAATGATATAGCAACTGGTCTGGCGTGCCTCGATCATTCGTTTAAAAAAACAAAAAAGGAAAAGAGAAACATTGTCTTGTTATGCATTTTAATTTGACTATAAGGCTGACTTATCAATAAGGAAATACCCCTTTTCATATCTTTTATTCTGAATAAAGAAGCCAAGAAAATCCTTTCTGAAATGTGCGATGTTTTTCCACATCCTTGAACCCTTTCTGTTACCAGTCTGATCCGGTTTAGAAGCAGTTCAAGGTTTTCTCTGTGTAAAAAAGGCTTAGGGCGTATATTTGGGTGACCCGGTGGGAGTCCCTTTGATAGAATCTCAGAAATAGACTGCGATGAACCTGAAATCCATGTAAAAGGATTAAAAAATATATACAGCAGAATGACACTTTATTCCTGTCCCTTCTAAAACCACCTGCTATTAATGACGCTGGGACATCAGACATGATCACATCCCGTCACTGTTAGTTCGGTTCAGATCTTAGAGAGCTTCCTGCCTGCCTTTTTCTGTGTTTTTTATGCTACGTGCAGAAGGGGTTAGTTTAAATAGAACGGCGAGGTATAAACCAGGACGCTATCAGTGCTCACGCTGCCTTTCCTTCCAGTCCCCAGCGAAGAAAGAACTCTTAGGGGCTTGAAGCATGTGGATACCATCACCGGTGAAGTACAGCCTCAAAACACACCCTCCTGTTTCCCAGTCACGGCATCCAGTAATCCATATAAACGTGTCAAATATTCAAATTCTCTATTAGCACAGGTCAGGAGCTGATAGCAGTCAAACTGAGACAAACACATCAGAAAACAGGCAACTGGTGCCGAATTTATGTAGATGGGCGCCCATGGGCTAAAGTCATCGTTGGGGCCCTACCTGCACCATGTAATGGGGGCTATTACAATCAGAAACAACCCCCCACCCCCACCCACAGCTCAGGGTTGACCATGACAGGCGGACAGACGACCACAGAGACCATACCGATCCATACGCGTGCTCAGAAAGTATCGCAAGTTTATGGTGTCCCCCGAAGACGACCCCGAAAACATTACGGCAGTGATATTAATGAGAGGTTATATTAAAATCCAACAATAACAGCGATACCATTGTGCCTGATTTCGGAGGACATCCAAATAACATACTATAAAATTGCAATACATATCCAATCAAGATTATGTGTTTAGTACTACCATGATATAAGCCACTGGGAAGCCATTTCAAGAAGATTAGAGGTGTTTTTTTAGACTTAATAGAGATTCAATACTCATCTTTTATTGCCTCGCTCTGATGAAGTCAAAATAACGGTAAGACAGAGGATGCTGTAAAAGGTTCATATTAGCAGGGTCGTCAGTTTCAGTGTGTGTAGTCTGGTAATCGCTTTTTATGGGATTTGCCAAATAGATCCTTGCTCATAATGCAATATTATAGGGGGTGAGTTTGCATTATAATTAAGATAAATTGTTTACTTGTAGCACTGATCAAACATTAAGGAGAATTCTTCATTATGTAATTCTGTTTTTCTAAAATTAAAATTACAGACTAACATAACATTAAAAAAAAAAAAACATTCTACGCATGCTGCATTTTTTTTGCTATTTTTTATTTTTGACCAGGGCGCAGGAAAAGATGGAGGAGATCAGAATAAATGGTGTCTTAGGAAATATTAAGGGTCTGTTTTATCCCAACCACCTGTACAGAAAAGCTGGTTTATTCATTTTATACAGCTCTGCTTTTATAGAGATGCCTTTGCGGAACATATGTTGTTGTTTTTTCTTTTCTTTTTTGTCCAGCACAGAAAAAAATGAACCTTCTGGTAAGCAGGCCCTTTGATTCGATACAAAGAAGACTTGCCGTTTGTTAATTGATTTTGACGCTTGCTGAATTACAACCGTGCTGGGAAGGAATCCTCGATCCTGGAGGACTCCTTCGCGGACGGCCGCCCCTCTGCCCTGACGGACGCTGATGTAAACCAAAAGCATAACCCGGGGTGAAGAAGAAAGAGGAGCCATGTTGGCGAGGAAGGAGGAACGCTCGCCACGCGCTGCTTCTGTCTCCTGCCGGCGAAAGCCTGGGCCACCAAGGCCTCCATCCAGCCCCCAGCTGCCGATCTGTAGGCCCACAGCTCACCCTGTTGGCCCAGGCCTGCATTGCAGGAGGAAGAATCACATAGCCTCACTTTGGGGACGGGAGGTTCTGGTTAACCTACTTGTGCTTAGAACCAAAACAGCACATTAAGGACAACTTGATCCATAGGTTGAGAGATGCGGAATGCATTTCGGCGTACCAGGCAGAAATCGGTTTGTTAGGTCTGAGAAAAAATATATCTAAAAGACGACTGAGCTGATTGCGTACAAACGGGGTCGAATTTGGAGTCAAATCTGTGGCAGAGCATGAAGGTCTCTTGTGTGGTGAGGTTAGGATATTCCAGCAGAGACTCATGTGACCAGTATCCTGATGTTATGCTACAGTAAGCCCATTCCCAGAGTACCGCAAGAAGACACAAGAAGTTTGTCTTTCCACCGCTTCTTTGGAGGTCCGCCTGCCCCACTAGGGCGGCTCCGACGCCTAGTTAGGAACTGGCCTTGATTTTTTTTTTTCCCCAAGCACCTTCCTTCTGACACTTTTGGTCAAAACATCTGCTCACCTGAGTATGCCCAGCATAACGCCAAACCGAGAGTCAGCCAAGGAGCTTTGGCTTAACACAGATGAGGATGACAGCATGAGGCTAACTGCCCTTCAAAGCTATAATGACTGCATGTATCACAGGGGTAGGGGTATATGTGGACGGGGGGTGGGGAGCACACAAAATTTAACCAATCATTAGTCACGTAACAGAATTGTGAGGGGTTCCATAAGAGAGAAAATATGATTCGGTGCCACGCACCTGGTCAACAACGTTTACCTTCACCAACTAGTTTCGAACTTTTACTGTTGCCACTCATGGTCAACAACTTTAAGTTAGAACTGTCCACCAGGGGGAGCCCCTCCCCACACACCTCTGATGCAATTCGAATACTGGTGCCCACCCAACAATCTGAAATTCCTTCCCCAGATTAGCATTCTGAGAATGCTACTGTTGCCCCAGACAACTCCGGGTTTCTGGCCAGTGCTGACCGTCACTGTTTCTGATGACATAGGTGAGGAGACAGCAGAGGTGGACATTTCAGGTGCAGTAAGTAAAAATCCAGACCAGGATTTTGGTTCAACCAACCAGTTGAGTACTCTGTGACTGTGACTCTTTGTGCTCAACTGGTTGGTTGAAACAAAATCCTGGTCTGGATTTTTACTTTCTGCACCTGAAATGTCCGCCTCTGGGAGACAGTCCTTAAGATACCTTCTGCTCACTTATAGCAGCTCTCATAATATATTGCTCATTTGAATCCTGCCACGATTCCGAACTAAGGATCGTAAATCATGTCAAGTAAATGCAAATGAGCCACCGAAATTTGGCATGCAATTTAGGGAAAAACATAGGGTTCTGGAATGGAACATTTCAGCTGATATGGTTTTAAATAATTTTGAAGTGTCATTCCGGAATGAGGTGACCCTGTTTGTCCAGTACAATAGGGTCGCAGGAACCTGTTTAAATGGGATTTACCACATTTATCTCTTGTTGGTGAGCAGTTGTAAGAGAAAGAAACTTATCTTGGGGCTTACACAGCACCGAGAGGGACGGACAATGGGCACCAGGCTGAAAAAAAGAATTCTCAATTATTAGGAAACAATCTGAATTCTCGCTGTCGCGTGGGATTTCAGCTGGAATTCTTTTGGCCCAGGAAACAGACGGTTTGTCCCCATTATTGTCTCATTTTTCACCTCCGATGTGTCACGCCTTCTGCACAAGAACGCGGTGAGTTGAGGCCAGCAAAGGATGATTTATGTGCTGGAAACATCACAGGTGTCATGTGACCAGGCTGACATTCTGCCACCTCGGCAGCCGTGGAGTCACCTGTCGATGTTTACTAAAAAGCATTGGGAAACATTGTGCTTCTGTGTGTGTGTGTGTGTGTGTGTGTGTGTGTGTGTGTGTTTGTGCACGTGTAGCTGTGTGTTTTGGGAGAAATACAGTTATTAAAAGTTCTCTTTGTGCCAATACTGGGGATAAAAATGGAAGCCAGAATATTTCCATGGCAACCACAATTCTGGGACACAGTGACAAACAATGACGCCGGCTTTGCAGGATGCACAGGCATGTCCTTGACATCTTTTTTCTTTTACCCCCCTCAGATTTTCTTTGATTTTGGATACTGGCACACAAAATGGGTCTGGAACCCACAAATGGCTGGAGACCACCATGTCGTCACTCATGTTATTACCTAGGCTCATGTGGCCCCATATCGTTCCCCAGTTTGTCAGAGGTGAGGGAAACGCCCTTATTGCCTGTTGGTCAACCTGTATGTTTGCGGCTGCTTGTGGCGAATTGCATTGAGGCGTCAGGCTGCATCTGCCCAGTAGGGTGATGGAGAGCGATATCACCACCTGCAGGGCTTGTCGGGCCCTCTGGAGAGGGCTGCGACCCTGGCGGCCTGGCCGTCAATGATTAACCAGGCTCTATATAGCACCAGCCGCATGTTTTCCTCCACTCTCGGTCACGCCATCCGATAACGAGAGGAGGCCTTCCTCTTTCTAGGCCGTCTCCGCAGCCTTGTCATGCCACAGTTCAAGTGCGGCCAAGCTAACATGCTAAAAATGCAATAACAGATCGAATATTTACCCCACGCTGAACGAAGAGCAGCGGGGTCTACACATATCACGCCCTTAAGAGACACTTCAGAGACTAACAGCCCCCCCACACACACACACACACCACCACCGCTAAATGCTAATCCAGCCCCTCCCTACAGCAAGTCACCGCCCATCCTGCCTTTCCAATTCCATTAATTTTCCTTGTCACTGAAAGCTAATCACACCAAAGAATTCACGGGTGACTCATTAACGTGCGCTAGCTTGGCGAGTCTCTGCATTAGCCGAACCCGGGCTGCAAAGTAGGGAACTGAAACAGGCCCGTCCTGAACCCTCCGGCTGAGTTTAAGTGGCAAAGACCTAAACAGGGCAGACATTGCAGAGAGATGCAAACATCACCCCATGACTCATCCGTTACATAGATACAAAACATTGTTTGTGAGAAAATGGAGTCAAAGACAATATGGTTCTTTCAGTGGATAGTTCACCTAAATACTACAAATAGTTAGGCTGAATAATGTTGATTATCAGGTACTTTTTGACATGTACACATTAGTATTTTTGCATCTCACTGTTTTGTATAGGTTTTTACTGGGCTACCCAGAAAGTTCAGACCCCAGAAGTTCAGAATTATTTTGACATATGTTTTTTTTGGATTTGGTAATCAGTGTTGACACACCACAGGGTGTTTGCCACATTTAGCCCATGTGTGACATAGCAAGGGGGGGGGGGGTAATCAGCACCCTGAGAGCAGAACCTTGTTCAGGGTACCTCAGTGGTGTTTTGCTGGTCAGGGATTCAAACCAGCAATCCTTCAATTACAAGTTCTTAAATATGCTGTCAGAAGTGGGATTTGACCCCACACCTCCAGGGGAAACTGCAACCTGAACACAGCACCTTAGACCCCTCAGCCATCCTAATTCTTTTTAAAAAATGTATTCAAATATTTATGAGACCTATTCAGAAACATTTACAGTGAGATTAAGGTAACACTAATAATGTAATAGTTAACTCCTACTTGTTGTAGGCCTATTAACTAACCATAAACTAAGTGTCAGTTATGTACTGATCTCACGTCCGTTCATCATTTATCAGTCATAAAGGTTTATGTATTTCCCACAGTTACATTATTGAGTGGTGGTTCTGAGGCTAGAGATCTGTACTAGCAGTTAGAAGTTTGCTGGTTCAAATCCTGTGAATGACAGGAGTCATTGAGTCATTGGGCCCTTGAGCAATGTCCTTTACCTGCAATTGTTTCATCCTGGGTATGATGTTAACCTACATTCAGCCCTACAAGCAAGTTCTTCAGTTTACAGCGAATGCTTGGAGGTTGGTGGCAGGGTTGGCATTCCTGCCACAGGGAAAAAAAAAAAACTCATACTGTTCTGTTTGGACTAGTATGGTGCTGAGGAATTACCCACTCCACTTGGGCTCCCATCCCTGAGGGAGTTTGTTGTGTGGCCATGTGCTGTAATCAGAGCATGGTCCTTACCTCCTCCTACAATTATGCTTTCTGTGGGTCCATAAAAAGTCTAAAACCCAATAGTCTGAACTTTAGGCCTTAAAATATCTTAAATACGATTTTAACAGGTCATAAAAATTGGTTGGATTATGAAGCCAATGTTACAGTGGGACCCCTGTATCCGTGGTTTCAGGAGCCGCGGTTTCAGTAACCGCAGTTACAGTAATCCACGGGTTGCCACCATCTGATTCCAGAAACAGTTCACAAGTTTCAAATCACATGCCTACTATGTACAGACTGTAAGCCGATGAGTACCTATAATAAGCTAAGATAATATAATAAGATATTTTTCTCATTACAGGTTATGTACAGGTATAAGACGCAATATTTTTGCGTAATATTATCAATTAAACTTACCATATGCATGTACACTAAAATCACAGTATATATGAGGTTAGGTGATAATTCGCTATTATGCAATAGGTCTTGGAACATATTACTGGTGGATACGGGGGGACTACTGTACTTTTATAAAGTTGCATTAAGTCTCACTTTTAAACGTGTTTTTGGGAAAGAAATGTATTGATCACATTTTAACAAAACTACTAAGTTAAAACAAAACTACTAAGTTAAAACAAAACATACTAAGTTACTTGTGCCCCCTCAAGTATTACCAACATTGATTTTCCACCCAAAATGCTTATGTATTAATGACATAGGGAGAAAATTCCTACAAAAAAACTATCCCTACATTTTATGACATTTACATTAAAAATGTATAGTCCGCCTGTTACAGAGGGGTCTGGTGAAGGATGGACAATCCATGTTGTGGCTGGCAAAATGGGACTTCATTAAACTAAAAAAGCACACAGGAAACAAAAAGAAACACAAGGGGTGAAAGACGAGGGAGGTAAATGAGAAAAACTAAAACAGGGGGCAACACAGGAACATCCATAGCAGAACAGCAGCAAACATGGGGCAACAACAACAACAAACACACGATGACCAATTAAGGAGCAAGTGCAACGGTAGGCACATATATACACGGATAATGAGGATCAGACAAGGGACAGGTGTGGGTCAAATACAATTACTAGGAAGAAGCACAGGTAAGGGCAATCAACAGGGGAGACTAAGGGCAACAGAACAGTACTACAATCAGGGAACATGGTGAAAAAACAAGGAACTGTAACAGAAACAAACAACTACATAATAAACCAACAAAATGTTAAATTATAACTAGTTGAATTTTAATTACAACTGAGATCAGAAGGGGAAGCCTGGATGACACAACCACCCGGTCAGCCCATTAAGCCATTCGGCAGCACGGGGAACAGGAGAAACATAAGGAGCTAACAGCAAACGGGATGACCAGCGACACCTGCTGGCCAAACAGAGAACTGACATACAGAAGTGGACAGGGAGCAACCCTGACACCACTTACCCTGTTCCAGATTCTGCATTTGTATCAATCTCCAATTTTGAAGAAATTCTTGGTTTTAAAATATGATCACAATCATTTTTTTCCTGAATTAGCCCCTCAATATGTTTAAGCACGGCTAAGATGAGGTTAACAGCATAAATATATTTTAAAATATGAAAATGATGCAGCATAATTGAGACACAGGCTGGGTATCTTCTTGCGGCACATTTAGGCCTGATAATAACTGTACCACTTGCAGAAGGTACTTCAGTTTAGCTGGGAATTGCCTCTTGGTCCATATTCTCTTATTATGCACATAACCATTGGTCCCCATTCTGTGCCACAGTGTAAGCGAATGAGAAGCGGCAGATTGAAAGCCGCACCTGAATGAAAATCGGGGTAAACAGACACTCGTTCGCCTCGACAAACCAAAAGAGAGCCTCTCATTTGTGTTTGCAGCGTGGCGGCCGTGGATTTGGGTGTGGCTGTAGGGCACTCTTGCTGGCGTGCCGTGTGAATGGGTGGGACAGATTAAGGAGCAGGGGGCAGTCTTAGAATCACCGACCTTAATGTCAACATGCTGAAAAAGTCATTCTTCATCAAGTTCCGCCTACCAGCCCCCCCCCCCCCCCAATTCCCCTCCCTTTTTTATTTTCGTCATCTTGGCCTCCCATTTACCTCTCTGGTGCTTCCGCTAAACTCATACTACCCTACTATACTATTAATATACTACCATACTACCCTATTAAGAGGCCATACTACCCTATTAAGAGGCCATAGCCGAGCCTCGTGCATAAAAAGCCACTGTGGCTCATTTTGCACCCCCCCCCCCCCTTGTTTCATCACAGAGGACCACTCTGCCTCCCCCCTTGAAGAAAGGGGACACTGAGTAGCAACCGGCGGGTGATGGTTGCATAATCACCCCCCTGCGGTCATTTTGGAGGGAGCAGCTACGCTGCGCAGTGCTGCTAATGTGCGTGCAGGTAGTTACTCGCCTTTTGATCTATTCTGAGGGAGGCATAGCAGATGTGAGCAAAATGGCTTCCCCTGGGCCCAGTTTGTTGCGGCCCCGCACAGTTTAAACGCGGCTTTAATGGGCTGACTGCTTAGTTCCGCCTGTTATTAAAGCGTCACTGTGGCGTTCTCCGAGATTAGCTTAGCTTAGCGTAGCTAAACGTGCAGCGTTCATTTTAATGCCCGGCCCGCCACCACAATCACGGCCGTCACATTTGAAAAATAAGGTCTCTCCTTAGCTTTCACACCCTAGGTTATTAACAAACAAACCTGTGCAAACAAGTGCAGAGCACGTATCTACAGCAAAAAGATCGCAACGCGATAACGATGCATTAAAACCAGCTACGCGTCCTGTGGGTGTTGGCCATTGGGGAGGCTGGCGGGATTGATAAGTAAGTATTATGGTTAAAAAAAAAAAAACGGCTGTGGCAAGAACCAGAGACCGAAACTGGCCAGTAGATAGTACAACAGAAACCTGGGAGCTCATTGTCCGGAGAAATCATTCGAAAATGTGGCCGTCGGTGATGAGCCTAGCCGTGCTATCCAGCCTTTACGGTAAGTTTTGGTGACTTTTAAGTAGGAAGAACGACAGATGAAAACATTTGACACTCTTTTTTGCAGTATTAACTCCATTATGTCTTTGCGATGGGGTGTGGCACCTGCTTGGAAGGCAAATGAAACGTAACCATGTGACTTGTTTTCCACGCTTTACTTCATCTTTTTATATATATTAACACCACTGATTGAATTTTAAACCCAAAATGCTAATTGTGAATGTAGGATTCAAATATAAATAGTCCACCTCACTTCTAAAGTTTGAGGCTTCTAGAGATTCTGAATCGGAATTAATATATGAAAGTTCACATTGACTCCAATCTGAAATCCACTATGAAAAAAATTAAAAAAGTTTAATTGCTCAAGGAATCAGAGAGAGAAAAAACTTAGTGTGGCAGTTGGTACTGTTGCATTTCTACCTGCTAACCACAAGAGTTCTCAGAGGTTGTCTGCGCCAACCAGAAAAGGAGGTTATAAAAGTGGACCGATGACAATCTATCTGACGTGTTATTTTCTGCTGTTTTTATTCAGGCTCTGTTCATTCAATTACTGTCTCTGTTCCCGATAAGTTTGTGAATGAGACCTCTGGGGCTAGTGTGTTGTTGGGCTGCTCTTTTCTGACCTCGGCGCCAACCACCGGCCTGAACATTCAGTGGTCTTTCATCTCCAAAAACACCATGACATCAAAACAGGTGAGCGCCTTGTGACTCTCAGCTCCTGTGGGTCACACCATTCTGTGGAGGCAGGTGATGCACCACCAGATAGCTAGAAGGGGGGGGGGGGGGCTGGTGAACTGTAGGTGGTCAGAAATCTTCAAGGTGACAGAATGTCTATTAGTACGACATTCAGTAGGTTAGTTTAGCTTTTTTCTAAGATTACACATAATTTTAACCCTTTCCTCTACATCTTCTAAAACTCCAACTCCAGTCCTGGGGGGCCGGAGCCCTGTGTAGCTTAGTTCTTTCCCTGTTCCACCACAAATGATTCAGCTCAACAGCTATGTGGTAATTAGCACAAGAAGTTTAATCAGGTGTGTTATAAACGAGGGGAAACCCAAAAATGTGCAGGGCTCCGGCCCCCCAGGACTGGAGTCTGACACCTGTGAGCTAAACAGTGCCAATTATGTAAGACTGTCAATCTGAATACAAAATTTATTCTAATAGATTTTCCCAAGTTGTTAAATTCACTTAAAATGTGTTTAAATCCTTTCAAATATCATAAAAATACTAAGTGTACAAGTAGAGCCCCCCCTCCAACACAAACGTAACCCTTCCAGACTTTGCACCTTTCATACATTTGAATAATTATCTAGGATACTCAAATTAACACCCTTTACTTAAATGAATACCAGCAAATACACCTGGATTTTCAGTTCGCAAACAATAAGTCCAGAGTTTAGCATCTTATTTACAAATTTACAAGAAGCCCCAGTGAAGCTCACTGTACAAGCCATTGACATTAAATTTACATATTAAGTTTATAAAGATTTTAGCTGATTCATAGAAAATGATGCAGTGACGTGTATACATTGACTACTATAGTTCTTAATAGTGATTCGTGTTCATAGTCAATACTCAAACTGTAGTATTGTTATAGATATGATATTATATATCCTTTGTTTTCAGTCACCTTTCGAATGCATTGCAGATTTACTATTACCAGGGAGGAGAAGAAATCGTATATCCGGATTACAAGGGTCGAGTGATCGTGCCTCCTTCTCCAATCACCACGAACGCCTCCATAAGCATTCAAGGAGTGACTCCCGCCGATTCTGGAGTTTACTTCTGCGACGTTCACAACGTGCCGGACGTCCAGGGCACCACGCAGGGCACTATTACTCTCAATGTTTTAGGTAACCGATCGGCCTCTAGTTCCCGAGCTTACTTACGATCAGAGGTGGAAATTTCAGGCCCAGAAAGTAAAAATCCAGTCCAAGATTTTGCTTCAACCAAGTAGCTAAGTACTCTGTGTGTCTGTGACTCTTTACGATCAAATGGTTGGTTGAAACAAAATCTTGGACTGGATTTTTACTTTCTGGACCTGAAATTTCCACCTCTGCTTAGGATCTTGTTCACTCGGAAGACACTTTCATCATGAGTGGCGTATATTAAACTGCGTTACCAATAAACACAATTCTCTTATTTAATAAGGTCGGTGGATTGCTGCCTTTTAAAAGCAATCTAATACAATAATTAGAAAATGGGTAGTCTAATTCACGTAAAACCGCAAGTTTTTTAAGTAAACACACCACCACTTAATTTTCGTACGTGCTTTAATTAATATCAGATTTAACGTACGTTACATTTACTTACAAGCTCGTGCTATAGGCATTAAAGGACTCCTGCACCTTACTTTGAACACTAGATGTCGCTAAATTAATTAATTAGTTTATTATTATTATTATTATCATTATTATTATTATTATTATTATTATGCGTTGTGTAAGACGAGGAGTTTTCTTCCTCATTTCATGATGCATAATAACAGTAAAGTTTTAATTTTAACAGACTTTCTCTTTCACTATCTGTTCTCCAGAAAAACCATCCAAGCCATTCTGCGGCCTCCACGGCACCGTGGAGTCGGGTCACTTGGTCACCCTCACCTGCCACTCAGAGCACGGGAGCCCGGCCCCGACCTACAAGTGGACTAAGTTGGAACAGGGGCAAGCCGTGAGCACGCGCGCCGTGACGAGTGAGCACCGCTGACAGCCTATAAATAACTGATTTGTAAGACCCTGGGTTAAAAAAAAAAAACATTTTCCAATAATGCCTTATTATCTTCAGATCTCCAGACAGGAGTTCTTCATTTTGGGAACCTGTCGCAGTTTGAATTCGGACAGTATAAGTGCAACGCCTCCAACAGCGTTGGCTTTGCGACCTGCACTATTACTTTAGACGAAGGTAGGGCAAAAAAAACTAACACGCCGTTCCGTCGTCTGCCACCAGGTGGTGCCTCGTCGCAATAAATAAAAACATCACGATTCAAATTATAAAATAATCAATCCACTGTCTAACTGCTTATCCTGTTAGTGTGACAGGGAGTCTGTCCCAGGTAACATAGGGCACAAGGCTGGGGTACACCGTGGATGGGATGCCAGTCCATCACAGAGCAAATACATGCATATAATACAGCTAAAATAGAGATGTTAGTTAGTCTAACTACACTGCGTGCATTTGGACTGTGGGGAAAAAACCCATGGTGAGCGACAATTTGTTAAAAGACACACTATTATAGTGTAAACCTATTTTGATTTCTTAAACTACATATTGCTTTACAATACAATGCCCTGTAGTTTTTCATTTCGTTGTCCAATCATAAATCAATCTCTACTCCCCTCCCCCACACTAAAATTGAAAAGAGCAAGAATATGAGCTTTTAATGTCTGTGTAGTAAATAAGTCCCTCTTCCACAGAGCGTAGTGATGGCACTATCGCCGGGGCAGTGGTCGGGTCGGTGCTTGTGGCCTGCCTCATCGTCTTTGTTGTCTGGTGTGTCGTACATTCACTGAGGAAGAAGAAGCACAAAGCAAGCATTGAGATGGAGTAAGTATGGCACACCCTGCTGGTGAAGTGGTGCATCTGCAGCAAAAATTTAATTTGCAGTTTAACAAACCATAGCATATAAATGTATATCTTGCTTCATAACATTTCATCTGCTATTTGGAAATGTTTTACACAGTGTTTCAACCAACAGGGATAGACAGCAGGCGTAAATCTAACATTTACTTTCTCGTAGGTCTAAAGCGCGGAATGCCAGCCCAGCCAATTCTTATATCGCCGTACCGCCTGTGGAGAGCAACAGTCAGGCTTCCACAAAGGAGATTTCCAGCCAGATGAAGGAGGAGGAACCTGTGGCTTAGGAACAGTCCTGTAGATTGGGGTCCGGGTGTTTTCCAAAGAAACAGTGCTATTTCGTACCAGATGTGTAACATAGACCATTCCAGCCGACACTACTGAACATATATCTGCCTTTTGCTGATGCTTGCAAATGGTTTTAGTTTAGATATGTTTTTAGAAACAGCTCAGAGTGTTATAATTAACCAATCAGTTTGTGTGATTTTGTTTTGCACTTTTTGAGTCTCCAAGAGAAGTTGTTGATTTATTTTTTAAAGTTTTTTTTTTTAAATAATCAAATCACATAAAAACACACAAAAATTGTCTACAGAATGAAATCCATAAACAAACTAAGAATTACGTTGTGTAGACACTCCACATATGACACTAAATTGCTTGAAGCTTGATTGCAATTTTATCATGTGTTTTTACCCCTTTATTTAGATTTATTTGTTACAAAATAAATTCTGTGACGTCACGTTATCACAGTATTGATCATCACACCTTAGTCCCTTTACAGTTTATGGAAATGCTGCACATTGTTACCCACATTTATTCATGTGTATAACTTCCTTCCTGATTAATCATACATCCAAAAGGAGACTAATGAAATTCCTTTAGCATGGTAGTATTCATAAGATATCATTATATTATGTATCTTGGGCAAAGCAGGACAGGGCTTTTAGTAGGTGCAGGTAAACGTGAGGGATGTTGCAAGAGATCTTGGGCCCCATGAAAGCATATCATATTCCCCCCCCCCCCCTCCAGACCAGACCAATCCAGTTATTTTCCAAAATTTGTAGGCAACTAACAAACTCACTCAAGGGCCCTTGGAATCACCCCCAGCCCCCACCCCCGCCCACAGCGCCCCTGGTTGTAATGACAACACTTTTTTGGTTTCGATATTACTCTTTATTTTATTCAAAACCAGAGAACATCTTTCTAAGATGCAGATCAAAGGTCATTTGCAGGCTACCAAGAGACGCTGGTACTGGACAAGAGATGGCCATTATCAATATTGCTTTTTGCACTGCTGTTGTGAGTGTGTTCTGTCCGTGATTCTGCTGAACTTATAGCAAATAACAACATGAAAACCAAGTTGGAAAGTGCAGACGTGGCGCTACCAGAACCATTAGAAGATACAATCAGCAAACAAGGGGCCGTGTAGAAGCAAATGGTAGATTTAAGATAATGAAAAACATCCTCCAAAGTGTTTAACAGATACCAAAAAAAAAACTGAGCTTCTGAATAAGCCTGATCAGATGAAGCAGGTGCCTTTTCAACTAATCTTGACAGTGGCATGAGATTTGTAATGCAAACTTAAAACTTGCAATGCAATAGAAACTAGGACACTTATACATATATATTATATATTATATAATACATATACAATAACTATTTATTGCTCAAATAAAAAATAAAAAAACCTAACATTTAAAACTTTATCAAAATCATATTTAAATATTGGGCTACATCTCTGCATCAAGCAACTGGTGATGACTGGGTACGTTTACATATCAAATAAATACATTTAAAAACAAAATGACAGTATAAAGTGACTTAATGCTGAGCCAGTCGGACGCCAGCCATCTTTAAAACTCGTTGGCTGACCGGTTAAAACTGACCGCTCTCTCATTCACGGAAAACTTGAACCTCCCCTGGAGGACACAGCGGACAGTTTTCCTGAAGGCGCTGCACAGGAAAAAGTAGATGACGGGGTCCAGGCAGCTATTCACAGCAGAAAGAATGAGCACCAGCTCGTTGACCATATGCAGCTGTTGCTGGATATTGACATCCCTGATGACATCCATCTGGGAGAGGATATAGGGAACCCGGACCACGTGGTACGGGAAGAAGCAGAGCGTGAAGATGGCCGGCACCAAGAAGGTCCTCACTACTATCTTCTTCTTCCGGCTCTTGGCCTGCAGGTCGTTACCGCCAAGGGTCATGGTGCTCAACTTCGCACCGATTGTCCCATAGAAGCACACAAAGACCAGGAAGAGGATAAAGAACAGCCCCACCACCACCAGGTTGATGGCCCCACCTGCTGCCCGCTTCCTATGGAAGTGGAAGCAGATTTTGTCGCAAGGCTCGGTCCCTTTCTCACACAGAAGGAGGAGGAAGGTGCTGCAAGCAAAAACCGCCCAGATGATGCAGGCAGTCTTGCGGCTCCACTCTACTCGATGGATTCTGAAGACTTGGACAGGCTTTATGATCTTCAGGTAGCGGTCCAGGCTAATGAGGCTTAGGAAGACAATGCTGGCATACATGGAGACGTAGAAAGAGATTCCCACCATCCTGCAGAGAAAGAAGGGGCCCTCCTTGTTGTGGTAGTAGATTCGAATAGGCAAGCACAGGACCAGAAGTAGGTCGGCTATGGCCAGATTCTTCATATACACCGTGATGGACAAGGTTGAGCTTTTCAGGAAGAATATGCACAAGGCCACCAAATTGCTCAGCAATCCCAGGATAAAGATGACAGAGTACCCCACAGGCACAACCAGGTACAGGAAGCGGTCATCGATATTACATGTGCCATTTGTGGAGACGTCCACTGGGGGCGTTGTCCACGGGGCCATTCCGGATCCTCTGAGTGGGCACGAATCAGAGGTTCAGACAGTGAACGCCAAGCTTCTGATTCCTGAGTGGAATTAGCTGTTAATTGTTAAACATTTATAATGTGACACAGAGTTCCAGAACTAGATAGATAAACTTTTAAAATCCCTGACAGGAAATGAAATGTATTACAACTGCCGGCATTAAGACAATGCAAAAAAAAAACACATAGGCCTATTAAGTGAGTCCGAATCTTTCAGTGAACTAAATATGTGCATTTGTAAATACATATCACTGTTTAGCCTATAATAACATAAATGCTTTAAAATTAAAGTACTTTGAAAATCTCGACGGATATGGCGATGGATCAACAAAAAAGTAAATAAATAGCCTATCTAAACACAAATTGGGCTGAATTAAAGTTAAATCATAAAAATGACTTTAGCTGAAATGCATGCCACTATCATTGAATAAAACACAAAATGTAGGTTAAATATATAGATGGATTAAAAATAACGATGACAGAAGTTTTACGTCTCAGTAAAATAACTTCGTTACTTTTTCATTTTTCCCCTCAAATGTTCACCATGCAATTTAGACGAGACGTCTCCATTTTAAACGTCTCTTTTCGGTAGTTAACATCTGCTAACAAAAGCAGCCTTAATTCTTACCTCCTCTGCCTGCGCTCTGTGAAGGTTTTTGCATCTTCACCGCTGTGTAGGAAGTTCGCATGTAAGAAGCCGTGCCCATCAAGGAAACCTGACCGTGACGCGCTGCTTTTACTCCCCGGGCTCCCCCTGCACACTTTCCCATCCTCACCCTGGCGGCTGCCTTTACTTTCCGCTTGCCTTAACAGAAAGCAGCAGACGCGGTACGCACCGGCATCCGAAACCGTCTCCGCGGCGCTCCACCTACAGGTAAACAGAAAGGTTTGCTCACTCCCGTACTTTGCAGACTTCCGACGCCCCGTAAGTGCATCTGCCCCAATTCTGTGATTTTTCCAGTACGGGGTTGAGGAAATCCAGGGAAGCAAAGATGCCGAAAGCACCTTAGATAGGAAACCAGCCTAGTAGACAGAGGTTCAGCAAACTGTAAAATCACCCAGTGAAACATCTATTTTATTACATAAAAGTAAAAACGTAACAGCATAAGTTTTAACAACTTTTCATTTTAACAATACCTCTGTCATATTGGTCGTAGCTGTATAACAGATTCCTGCTATGAAATACCCGTTTTCCTCTTTCCTTCCCTTTCAGTATTGAAAGAGAAGTTTGCACTTCCGCAGGCGCTGAAAAACAGAAATCATTTAGTTCCTGGGCCAGATATGATGAAGTTACTAAGATTGGGCCCAATAATATCAAAGCAATAAACTGTAGTTGAATTATCATCCAGAGAAGTGTCGATCTCACACAATACTTGTATTGATCTTATTTACAATAATTTACTTCGAAGGGGCATGGACACCCTGGCAGAGTCGGTGGGGGGGGGGCTTTACAGGGCCTCCGAATTAGAAAAATTTCTAGTTACGCCTCTATGAACCTGATGAGGCAACCAATCCATGACCAGAAGGTGCAACATTTACAACATTAAGGGAGCATGGAGTGGTATGAGTTTGCAGAGGAATTCCTGGAACTGGCGTTTCTGGAAGGTGGAGAGGAAGTCTGATGACCGGATGTGGTTCAGCAGCTCATTCCACCACCAGGGAACCACACATGTGAAACACCTGGAGGAACACTTCTGGCATGGTAGAGGGATGTCCAAGCGGTGTTAGGAGGCCAAGATAGATCCTCAAAGGTCTGGAGTTCTGGTGAAGCCCCTTAAACAGCACTGAAAGCTTCAGGTTACTGCACCGGTTCTGCCACGTCAGAAGTATGGGCTGTACACCATCTATACAAATAAGTAATAAGGTCTTAACATTTTATTAGAGCAGACCAGAGGGACTTGATGAACAGGGTCAGTTGTTGAATGGACTTTTGACACATAAAAGAAATGTCATGACGAATATGTGAATTTGGTAACATGCACAGTAACTCCCTGTTACATTTAAAGGCTCTATTATTTTAATTGTTGGCGCTATATAAAGGTGCCAAAGGCACTATTTTCTTGACAGGTTTTTTTTATTATTATTTAAATCACAGCTGTTTCTGTCACCTTCAGTGTTTCTGTCATGAACAAACAAAGTCATAAACAAACGAAAATAATCAGAGCGAAATATGATTCTTGTGTATTTGCCGCTGCAGTAGACCCTTCAAACAAAGCCAATCCTCCAAACCACAGTTTCCTGTTACTCTCAACTAACGCACCGTGCACCAATCCAGTAAGCGATGGCCGCACCGCACAACTGATTACGGGTAATGAATGCTGGGGCTCCTCCTACTTTCCGTGCTGCATTTCACCGCACGTCCTCGGCAAACTCAAGAATCAAAAATATACCCTTCCGAAACCTACGATTTGACCCCTTTTTACGTCGCTGTACTGCAAAAAGAAGCCTGACGTTTCAAGTAATCACTGGTGTAATTAAATTAAATAAGTCACTCTAAACCACTGAGCACAATTGAAAATTATTTTTGAATATGTCAATAAACGTCCTCGCCCAGGCCAAAGTTTCTCTGAAACTGGGCACGCTAAATTAATTTGTGAGTGATCTGCCTCTTAGCACTGATTGGTCCAGTGGTTATATCCAGTATCAATGAAAAGTTTGAGTACTTGCTTGTATTGATAATTACATATGCTTTATTTATATTGTGCACAATTACTGTATTTAGCAGACGCTCTAAAGTGACTACCAGTGAGTCTAATAGCCCATTACAAACATATGTGCTGTGGTGGAATAGGCGTAAGTTCACCTAGGCGTAAGTTCACCTAGGCAGAGCTTCCAGTGAATGCCGAGGTACCAGTGTCAGCAGTGGGGCAGGAGCTACACAACATCTTTCACACAAAGCAAATGATCACAAATGTGACTGTGGACTAATGAGTCTAAATTTGAAATATTTGTCATAAGTTCTGTTAGTGAAGTTCCACTGTCAAGCATGGAGGAGGCAGTGTGGTGGTACGCAGGTTACTTTGCTGGTGACAGAGCTGGCGATCTGGTGACTGGGTCGTCCTTCTTTCTTCAGCAAGACAATTGCCAAAAAAACACACCTTAAAGTTGTGCAAGAAATACCTAATGAAGTAAAGTGAAGGACAGATCAAACTATTGACCTAGCCTGCCCAGATTCTGGATCTCACTGCACAGAACTGGCATGGGATTAACCGGACAGTGGAGTCATGACGGTGCAACCCACAGCCCCAGAAGCAGTGAAGCAGTCAAGCCCACATAGTGCCCTTGCCAAACGTCACTGCCCAATATGCTCGGGTGCATAATGTCAACCCAGCTGCAGTGAAAACAGTGAGGTTGGGGTCTTCCTAAGGAGGGCAGGGGAGCAGCCACAGAAGACGCAGCCTTGGCCGACTGCCAGGGTCCGCCCCTGCCCAGGGCAGACATGTCAGCTAACTTCCTGCTGAGATCTCTTAAGCAAATGCTTGTGGGTGAAGCCGTTATCAAACTAAATGGCAGCTCTTTCAAGGAAACTAAGATCTAGAAACCATTTCCTATTGCTGAATTCTGCTTTGGCTTTTTGGGTATAATTCAATGAGCTAATTTTCAAGCATAAAACTCACAAGATGCAAAACTTAGGACTATCAATTTATAAGTCAGGTCAGGTTGGGGAGCATGCGCTGATGCAGCGCGTTGCCGCAGCCACCACAGGGCAAAACTCCCGGCCGGCGACCCCCCAGGCAGATACACGGTCCAGTCCCACCCTCCAGAAATGGCCATCCATCTGCCGCAGCCAGGTGTCACGTGGACGTCCCCTTAGCCTGGTCCAGCCGCTTGGGTCCTCAGCAATGAGGATCCTGTGAGCCGGATCACTCTCAGGGAATCGCGCCACATGACCATAGTGCCGTAACTGACGCTCCCTCACAATGCAGGTAATGTGCCTCATTCGGGACTCCTCTAGCAACCGCTCATTCAACACAAAGTCAAACCCAAGGATTCTCTGAAGAGACACAGTACCTAAGGAACCCGGTCTTCGTCTCAGCAAATAAAAAAGTCACCAGGTTGAATTGGCAGTATCGGTACACGGCCATTTTCAGGTTTCTCCAGAGATGCTCTATTGGTTTTAGATCGGAACTCTGGCTGGGCTTCTCCAGGACTTTCAGCAGTTTTCCTGAAATCACTCCTTGTTTTGTTGGCAGTACGCTCTGTTGTCGTGTTGAAATGTAAACCTTGGCCCCAGCCTGAGATGCTGAGGCACTCTGAAAAAGGTTTTCCCAGAGGAATGCTTTATATTTTTCTGCATCCATTATTCTCCTCTATCCTGACTAGTCTCCCAGTCCCTGTCGCAGAATAACATCCCCACAGCATGATGCTGCCACCATAGTGTTCGACTGTACAGATGCTATCAATGAGGTGATGCTCAGTGGCTAGTTTCCGCCACACATTCCATTGGGAACTGTGGCCAGTTAAATCTTTGTTTCATTAAACCAGAGGATTTCGCTTCTCATGGTCTGACGGCTCTACTTTTCCACCTGCGCAAAGCGCGAGGCAAAGTAGTTTTGCTACTTTTGCACCAGCACATTGCTCATTTTCACCCAGGCCCGCACGTCGTCTGAATTGCAAATGATTTTGGCGCATTGTCGGCGAGTTGCTATTTTAAAATAGCGCAACGTCATTGCGCTTTTGATGAACAAAAACCACGTGCGAAGTCAGTAGCATTATTAAACGGCATTAAAGCGGCGCGTTTTAGAAACGTGCGGGTATTGGACGCTGGTTGCGGACACAGGTATGCGCTCGAAGTGCAATAATGGTTTTTGTGTCATTTTCTTTTATTTAATTTATATACGTTTTTTATAGAGTACCTCCGGTCCTTTCACGTAATCATACTGCTTAATAAACCACCAAAAGAAAAAGTATATTAAGTAAACTACAAACTGTATCATTAAAAAATCTTTAGAGTTCATTATCAGAATTAAGCACCTACTGTAATTGAAAGGACATCTGGATTGCTAAAAACGCGTTTCAGATATTTAGATAAACCAGTTGGAACATGAAAATACAGCCCTCAGATGGTCGCAGCATCCTTTGTGGCATGTTGTATGTTGCGTAACATTGTACATTTACATTTACATTTACAGCATTTGGCAGACGCCCTTAGCCAGAGCGACTTACATAAGTGCTTTAAGACTCTACAATGAATTTTTCCAGATACTAGCTCAATAAAACCAAGGCTATGAATACCATCGATCTAATACTCTGTTGGAAAAGTGCATTTTTTATTTATTTATTTTTTTAAAGGAATGCCAGAGAGTATAATGCCAGAAGTGCTAATTCAGGTATTTCTGGAAAAGGTGTGTTTTAAGTCATGCGTGATGGCACAATGATGATGCCTACTTCACAACAGATAAATGCAACCTGTCTATTTGTATGAACATTAATGTAATTAAACAAACAAAAGTACAAGGGGACTTACGCTCATGTCATTGTCTGAGGTCTATGAATTCAGCAACTGAGTGAATTGGCATTTAAAGCTAAAGTTCACCACAGAGCAACGCAGGGCAGATCGAGTAAAACTGAAAGTCTGAAAGATCTTCCCACAAGGTGTTTTTCCAGAGACGATAAGATCATAAAAAAACCATGGAGACCTACAGAAGGTAACCAAGCGATTAACATTTGAGATAATCAGTTGCCTCACATCAGTTTTGTGTATAGTAAAATCCCGTTATAACGGATTTCCAGGGACCTGGCAAAACAGTCCGTTATATTCAGAGTTGCTGTATGCCCAGAACACAACTACAGGACACCATTTACTCATGCCACTCCCCAGCAGACACACTTGTGGTGTAGATTATTATATTGTACATGTAGCAATCCAACTTTACCTGAGCAGATGCGTGATTATTAATAATCCCGACTACGTATCTGCGCTGGATATCGCCGGCACGCCACGCGCCTTGTAGGCGGAGCTGAATGTCCGTTATAGCCGAACAAAACTTCAGCTAAAAGCGGCCCTGGGGACCAAATTGTTTGTCCGTTATAAGCGAAATTCCGTTATATGCGAGTCCGCTATAACGGAATTTTACTTTATTTGGAAAAGGGTGTCCATTTGCTAATATCACAAATGCTCAGACTTGCTCTTTATAACTAATGCCACTGAAATGAATCGGAGTTCTCAAGCTTGGCATTGCCGGATAAAACATACAGTATGTTTGTCTTTTTAAATAGCCTACCTTTTCAGTTTTCTGTACTTAGTTCTGTCATCTTTGCCGAAAGGAATCGCATGAATTTGTTACCTGTCTCATTTAAAATAAACAATTATAAATTAGCAAGATGTATATCGCTTCAGAAAATCATCCTGGATCAATTACTGAGTTTTTCCACAGTTCAGTTTTTTTTTTCTGATTTGCACGTGTACGGTTTTTAAACCCGTGTGCGGCAGCCATAAATACCAAAATGTAAAGAAGAAAAAAAGATGTAATAGGTAGAAAGAAAACCGCAGACACAAGTTGAACAGGGACCTTCTGTTTATGTTTGTATCAAGAGTGCAGTACTATGCGCCTGATCATGGCGTTAATTTAAACCTACACGTGAAATAGGGTCGCGACTGAGCTGGCACGATAAAGATTGGTTTGGGGTGCAAAACAGGCAGAGAACCACTGCCCTATAGGCATGCATGTTACACTTTGAGCATATATTTATATAGTTAATTCACTTTATATCATATTTAGGTTAATTCGATTATCTCTTCCGCTAATTTATTATTTTACTCTATTATGTGTTGCTTTCTTTTGCACAATCTTGGGGCAGGCTAGCTTTTCAGGTCACTGCGCGTTGTACCTATGTAACTGTGGGTACGACGAATAAACTCTTGAACTTAAAGAGCATGACCCGCTTGATGTCAGCTGGCTGGTACTGTTCTGACTGGCTGTTACCGCTGAGATATTAGGCCTATATTTTCATAATCACAAAATGAGTCTTTAGCAGCAGAATTGTCCACGCTTTATGTTAAGTACAGCTCCTGTTTGAGAGC